TGTACAATAGATTTTCATTCCACAAAATCAACCATTCAACACATCGAAATAAAATTATTGAGATTGGAGTATAGTAAAGTTGTCTCAATTTCATGTCCCAAGTAGCACAAGCACGTGAAAATGACGTTACAAACTGGTCATCAAATAACGAGTTGAATGACGTAAAAGTAACGTCAAAATGGCATTCTAATGTCACATACCGATGACATCATATGGCAGACGTCAATAACACGCCGCTTGCTGAACGTAACGATGACGTTTATCGTTTATAATGAGTAACCAGTTTCAACTACCTCAAAAAATTATACAGGGTGTAAACGTTATTTTAGTCATTATTGAAATGGGTAATAGGGGGTCAAACCAAGTCAAAAAGTTCATATGACCCATGGTCCAAAAGTCAATAGATTTTTGTCCAAATCGCTTTATCGTTTACAACTGTTTGCTTTATATCGACCACAATCACCACAATGTTACTATTTTTTATAATCTAATCTAAAGCGGTTTTACATTGGGTAATTAACAAATAAATGGCACTAAGTTTTTCTATGTTAATACAAAATTTGTAGTCAGTAAGTAAGTAAATTTCATTAAATTAAATATTTAAAACACACATGACAAAAGCGCGTCGGTCATCATCACACTTATCGAACCGGCAGTCGATCGCAAACGGTAGCAGTGGTTAGTTATCCGGCATCGGGCGTGTTGTGTACAATGTTCTCGAATCAAGTGTTCGCCGACATGTTGTTACTTTACGGTGAAGCTCGTCAAAATTCAAATCTTGCAGCTCAAATTTATCGCGACAGATTTCGCCAACGGGTACTCCCAGACAGAAGGACATTTGTGCAAGTGTACCAAAGACTTCGAGATACATGAAGTGTTTAGCCCACCAATATTCGCACTCGTGAAAGACAGGTTACTGTTGAGCAGGAGGAACAAATTTTAAATATCGTGGAAATCAATGCAGATATCAGCACTCGGGAATTAGGCCACCGCGTAGGACTATCGCGTACCATAGTCCTTAGAATCCTACGGGAAAATTTGCTTTCTCCTTACCATGTACAACGAGTGCAGGCCTTGTTACCAGAAGACTATCCTCGCAGACTAACGTTCTGTCAGTGGTCACAAAAACAATGAAAATCCGGATCTTTTTAAAAACATTCTAGCGACGGACGAATGTACTTTTACGCGAAACGGGATATAAAATTTCCATAATACTCACGCATGGGCCCAAGAAAATCCTCATACCATACGTGAAGGTCATTTCCAAAAACGTTTTAAAATAAATATTTGGGTGGTATTCTTGAGGATCATGTAATAGGCCCTTTCGAGTTACCCCCAAAGTTTTCAGAAGAAGGATACCTTAGCCTTCTAGCCAATAACCTACCAGAACTTTTGGAGCAGGAGCAGGAGCAGACAATATTCCATTTCAACGGAGACAGAATTTGTGGTTTTTTCATGACGGGGCACCACCACACATTTTTAGAGGCGTCATTCAGTATTTGAATGAACATTATCCAAATCGCTGGATCGGTCGAAATGCTCCTGATACTCTAAAATGTCCAGCAAGATCTCCTGACCTCAATCCGATGGATTTCTGGTATTGGGGAGTACTTAAAGGGATGGTTTATGGGGCTAGTCCAGTAACAACTGAAGCACAACTTCGCGAAAAAAATTTTAATGCGGCTAAAATAATAAATGGACAACTTCGAGGATCTAGGGTAAGAAGAAACTGGGTTAGTCGTAATGAAGCTTGTGTAGAAAGTGGAGGACGACATTTTGAACACCTTCTTTAAATACAAAAAAGTGCAGTGTGAGTTTGAAAAAGAAAAACAATGTATGTATCAAAATTAAATAAACTTTCACACACCAGGTGGAGCGCTGAGACAGTTAGTGGGAAGTCCGTTTTTTTTAATTGTTTGCATTTTACGAGTACATTATCAAATAATGAAATAATACCTAAGAGCCAAAAATAACAAACACCATCTTTATTCAAACTGCGTTCCGTCGTAATTTGCGTCTGGCATTGCAGCGTTGTCAGATTTTATTTTACTTTAAAGTCGCTTTTCTCTAAAAAAATGCCGTTTTGACCCCCATGCTATATGAAACTTTTTGCTTCTTTTAACCCCCCCTATCGCCTATTTAAATAATGACTATCATAACGTTTACACCCTGTATATTGTGTTACTAGTAGTGGGAGCACCATATACAGTACGTGGAAGTTGAAGCAACACGATGCGGATACCGGGTACAAATAGCAGGAGCAGGAAGAAATAACGTCGATTACAGCTATCTGCGGTTGCCGTTCACTGTCAATTGTCACTCGATATATAGCGTTGTCAAACGTAAAAAGATTTTCAAGAATACATCACACATTCGATAGCTAATATGTTATATGTATTCTTTTACGTTATCTGAATGTTGTGACCAATAAGGTGATTTTTTCCATTTACTTGCATAAACTCATTCTTAAAAATTATTAAATATTATACGAGTATATCGGAACGCTAGAAATATAAAGGATAAATAGAATATTATTCGGTAACTTTTGGCAACACTTTAATAATTTGTCATTTCAGACAATTTTGAGTTTCAATTAGTGCACGTCGATGAGGGGTGGAATGAGATAATTGCTTATCTGCCCGCTGACTTGATCCGTTTTGAAACAGAGAGACTGATTCTAAATCAGCAAAAACGTCGAATATATTATATAAAAATATATATGATTCAAAAAAACGTAATTACAACATTTGCGGTACACGTACACAACTGGACACTTAGTTGACGTCGTAGGACGTCGATATTGGGAAGTATCACGTCAGTTGACGAGTTATCACCAAGTAATCGACGTCATTTTAACGTGCTTGTGCTACCTGGGTACTGTTCATGTTGCTACTGCTAAAAATATACGTGACTGCGTATCGGAGCACTAAAGAGAAATTGGAAACTTTGGGCTCATGAAGATGGGAAGGGGTATTCCGAATATTGAAAAGTGACATTATGTTGTTTGTTGACATTATCTAGGTTTTTGTGACATTTAGATGTCATCTAATGTCATCTGTTATTGACTTGATGTGTACTCTTTCTGAAGCTGTACGTGTTGCCGAAACATCATGACGCTTCAGCTATCAATGTTTGGCTCTGATGTGATGTAACATCTGCTTCAGAGATTGGAGATTATTGGAGATCTAAGCTGTAAGTTGCATACAATAGCTGGGATGAAACGGCAGTGCATAGGTGCATATTGCGAATTTGTGTGCTAATAAAATCGGTGTTGATGATAATTCCATTGGTTTCTTGTCTCAAATACACTTACTTGAAATGAATGCAAAGCTCGAAACTAGTTGCGCGCCCACTTTTTCTTATTCATCCTGGAAATTATGTACATAAGCAAATTGCTGAATTTCAAGAAAGAGAGAGGTACGAAAAGAAAATCCCTGGTTGGTGACGAATATTACAACCAAAAGGTGAGAAAATGTGCCACAGACAGGAATATTTATGAAAAGTGTAAAAGTCATTACGTTTTACATTATTTTTATTTCCAATTGCTATATCAAGTAGAAGATACAAAACAGCGCCTAGATGTAACGCACTGCGAAAATGTGCACAACGCAGGTGCAGTGGTGATTTTCCGTAATGCTTCTCACAGTTTTTGAAAACGCAAAAAACGGGGTAATCATAATTTATAACTTTGAACATAACCTTTCTTCAAAAAGAACAACTCACCCGTCTGGTACAGCTAATACTCGTAGATATACACGGGCAGCATATTCAGTAATAATCTTCTCACATAGAAAATATCACTGATTTTATACACATACAGACCAATACACACAATCATCCAGATGCGATCTTGCTACTCAACCAATTTTATTTCTGTCACGTCGTCTCGGAGACGTGCTCAACAGAGTATCTCGGCATTCTGCAACCAACAAAGCATGCTGGATCATTGACCGTTAATTAAGCCATTCCTCCATAGATGACGCTTTTGGTGATGTTCACAGCGCTCAAAGCGAACAAACGCGGAATGAGATATTTGCACATAGAAGCGTGCTAGGAGCTATCTAGTCAGCAAGATGGCATTCTGTCGGTTCTTTTTGGCATTACATAGGTTTTTACGTAATAACCCTGCGGACCTTAAGTTAGACAAGGTGGTAAATCTCGAAAATTCAAAGTAACATCCTCTTCTAAGAAAGCTTTGCGGGGTCGTTTGACCAGTTTTGTTTTGTTATTGAAAAATATACGGTGAGGTTCCAGTTTTTCTGATATCGTAATGTGTACAAGAGAGAAGCGCGAGAAGCGTCCAATATGTATGTTAATAAGATGCACCGATGGCGTCCGTGGCCTCGTCACCGGAGTTGCTAGGCGACGAGATAGCTGTATCTACATACGTTCTACATACGTATTGCACGCTTCTCGCGCTTCTCTCTACACATTAAGACGACATGGGTAGTTGGTTTTCAGTGTACATAAAGTAAAGGCGTTACTTATGGACGCAACTTTTATTACGCGACTGCGCTATATTTAGCCCCTATTAGGAGCAACAATTTTGTGGCCGTACAGTATGACCATCGATTGTTTATCAAATGAGATATATGACATAAAAAAGGGATCATATTTCTTCACTTCAGTATGTGGAAAGTTCAGAATATACTCGTCGAATTGTGTTTTTCGCATGATTTTTAAGTCGTATTTTAGCCTTTTTCACATATCGGCAACATGCTGTTTACGCAACGATCACGGGCGTTAGACTAACGTGGTCGTTCGCAGACGGGTGCTAGAGGGGGAGCGGTGTAGAGACGACCCCCCCCCCCCCCGTTTGCTACCCAGCACTCTTCAAAAAATTTTGGAGGCAGGTATACTTTCACAAAATGTATGGGTAATTATATTATCAGAAAAACCGGCAATGGGTTCATGGTTTGATTTCTTCGGTGCGTTCACAGAATTGCCCTGACTCCTGCCCTGTTCAGCCCAAATGTAGTGGCAAGGTCATCTGGCGTTAACGAATTATCCATCCTTATCTATAGTCTATCGACCAATCAGGATCACTTGCCGGCGTATTTTTCGACAAATCACAATAAGGAAATCTCATGCATAACCCAGTTTGACACTCTCGGACTTTCGCATAACCTCACTTATTTGTCCAGACAGAAGTGAACTGACTTTCAAATAATGTTGCTTTGAACAATTTTAAACTGTGATAACCATTTACTTATATTTAGGTGTAGGAAGTGAATTTGATAATGTATTTTTCTTCGGAACTGCAGATACTTAAATACAGGTAGATTACAGAAAGTGTACTTAGGTCAAAATTTATATAAAGATATCAATGTGAAGTACAATTTGATTAAAGAAAGGCCATGGATTCAACGAAAAAGCACGTAAATCCATCACCAGAAGAAAAAGCTACCTTCTTATCAAAAATATTTTATTGGTAAGTGTATACTTTTTGTTTATGACTTTTTTTATGCTATGTCACAGGCACACTGTAATCACACAGGTCATGATCTCAATTCATGATCATGATGTGAGAAAATATCAATCAGTCAAGTGACTCTCAATAAGTCATTATATCTAATAACTAGTTATTTCTAACAATGAATGTCTGATACTCCCAAATGTCTATTGGACGATACAAGACCAGAACAACTTTTGGTTAGATATCATGTCATTAATTTGTGCAGAATTGGTAGTGTCTGGTAGTAAAAATTTTTTGAATGCTCTCTTTAGTCAGGTATTGGACACTGATCACTGTATTATTTTCTTCACTGAAACACAGCTGATTTTTTTTAAGAAATATAAACTAAAAAGGATAAAATAGTCTGATTGTACACGCCTTACTCAAATTTGGCAAATAATAAAGCAAAATTCTGTATAGATTTTGTATGTAGGAATTTATATACTTACATTTAAGAAAAATTGAAGCATAATTTCTCTATGATTTGTCAAGTTTTAAGGGCAAATGTCAGGGGAGATCTCTGATGTAAGAAATATGTCTATGTCTAGAATTACCAGGGTTGGAAGCATCTAAATATGCTACTACCACAAAATAAAGATATACCGTCCATGATCAGGAACCCTTGAAACATCAAAAAATGAAGTTTCAGTGATGCCAAAATTTCATCAAAATCCAAGCAATACTTTCTATGTTAATATTAGGATATGTTATGAATTAGTCGACAGATAAACAGACTGTCAGAAATGAGTGACATGGTTTAAGTGATGTACATGGCATATATAAAATCCAAAAATCATATCTCGATTTCCAAATTTTTCACAATTACAATACTGCCTCACCAGTGGTGAGGGAAGTGGAAACATCAAAAACATATTGTGAATAACAGTATTATGTATCTGTTGCATCTAGAATGTCAACAAACTTGTATCATCAAACATAAATGACTCCAATCTTCAATTATTAGAATAAGCAGAGTGAGTGACACCTAGTTAAAAAGAATGATGCTCTCACCACCAAGCAAATAGGTTTGATTTAGAACTATTTTACATTATATGGTGTTTCTTGCTAAGCAGCAATATTTTATATTGATTTACAGTTGGTTTATGCCTTTCCTGAAATATGGATATAAACATGATCTTGAAATCAAGGACATCTATAATACCACAAAATCTGATCTTTCAGCAGCTCTTGGAGATCAGTTAGAGAAGTAAGTATTACAAAAGATTAGTATTACATTAATGAAATCTTACAGTCACTCATATTCAGTATTATATTGATTCTCTTGTGACTACTTATGGCCATCAAAAAAATATGCATTTAATCGATACACAAAACCTATTTGTGAAATAGAAACCCTGAACATGAAGTGTTGTGATAAGATAAGGGATCTATCAGGTATATATGTGCATGTAATATGAAAGGAAAACATTCCAAAATGATTATAGCTTGAATTTATTTCAAGTTTGGATAATACAAAATTTGAGATTGAATTTCTTTGTACCTTGATAATACCCATAACTGGCTGATTGAAGGATATGCAAATCTTAAGGGATGTTGTTGAAATTAAATTTTAAACAAAAATATGATACATTATAGCAATAGCATTCTAGTAATTAGGGTATTGTGGTCTAATAACGTATTGTCATCTATATGATTACTTGCCTCTAACATTTTGTGATTTATCTACATTGTGTTCCTGTTTCACCAAGTATTTTGTGCACCACTTTCATAAGCTGACTTCATCAAAAATAATTTAGTGATGCGGAATTTAGTCATCATAGAGGCCTGATGCTGTTGATATATAAACATCATCAGGACAACAAATTTATCCAACGGTCTTTACTATATTTAGTCACAGAACTAGTATTTGTGGTAATATCCCAAATAAATCTCATTACATGTATGGCCTAGTCAATGATAGTGAACTTATGTGACACAATAATGATGCAATGTGTATTTGCAAGTTTTTTCCAATTAGTTCCACAGCTTGCACAATTTGCATTACTATAATTTGAGCTTGAATCTTTGTATGTAATAACTGGTAATGTTTATAGATGTTGATACTGAGTGCCAGAGTATACACAATTATGATTTTTTATTAAAGTTAATGCTTTCAGCAGATTTTATTATTATTATTTGATGACTATCTTTATAAATGATACACATTTTTATTAGGTGTATAAAATGAATTGTTATAAAATATTGACTCAACTAGTCCCTAACTGGATTTGAAATCCAAACAAAAAACATCTTGTGTATCACAATGGAAGAAGTAGGAGAAAATTATCGTATTTATTAAAAATGATTGTCCTGGTAGTATTTACAATTTTGTTTTGAGTCTTTCCCCCATACTGATAAACATGAATTAATCATGTAAAGGTCGATCAAAATTTAGTGAAATCCGAAAGTGTAAAAACAATGCTTTATACATACAGTGCTTTCAGAAAGGTACCCCACTGTTTGAACGGTAGGCGTAAAAAACGATATATTGTCATTAAAAATCGGCAAAATGTCAACTTGTGTAGAAGCTAGTTGCTAGTCCGCGCTACGCGCACTCGCTGTGAATGCCAGCTTAAGCCATAGAAGCTATAAATGGCCTCCACTAGTGCCATCTCTGGAGCGGATGTTATGTCACATTAGAGCCAAACCATATAGCTCAAGTGCCATAACGTTTAATCAATACGCACAGTAGTACAAGTGAACATGAAGTTAATGACAGCTAGTTCTAAGCTGACTTTCGAAAATCCTGCATAATATCATTAAAAATCTATATGCCATTATTTGAGTTACGTAATACGGCTGCCGGAAGTTAGCAAGCTGACATTTGAGATGCTGAAACTGACGTATGACTATATTTTTAACATAGAAATAACGGTTGAAAATCTCTTAATGGCGGCTGCCTGCTATCTTGGAGTTCATTTGAGTACATTATGGCGTATGTCACACGATCACTATTGACTGTGGTCCGTACCATCAGTATTTACTAATGTCATTGTCGACAGTGAATTTCTAAGTATCCTTATACATCAATAACTGGCGTTGTAGCTATACGGTCAATAAATATTACATTCATGGTCAAAACTTGGAGATCACGGTAAATACTGATCGCCTATAGCCCTAGAATATAAAATCAATATCTTTCAAAATAGCGGATAGGCAACTCAAGAACTGATCATCAAAACGTGAGAGTATATGAATTTTCATCCTCTTCCTTTGGAAGGGTCTGCCTAAGTGTGCAATAAAATATAAGATATTTAGTTTAAAAGTGTTTGGCTATTTTTGAAATGGAATATTTCATATTTTATAACATAATTGGATATACCCTTCCAAGATAAGAATATTGGTACTATCGTCGTTGTTCGTCAGAGCGGTCTGGTGGACGTTTGCACGTTAAAATTCACATCGGTCTGTTTGTCAGGTCTGGTTACCCAGATACCAAACAAGTTCAAGCGGAAAAGGGAAAAAGGAGGCAATGGAGCAAAGAAAGGGAGTAAATTATTTGAAGCAGAAAAAAGCTTGAAACATTATTAGTTTGACTACTCGAATAATTTTCTAATTCCAAAAACAATTTTGATCGGAGGAATACTTATATAACATACACTTAGTTTAGCATTTTGATGAGTGGTTGTAGAGTTATGTCTCTCAATACACAAAAACGCTCAACTTCAACAGCCTGTAAATTCGCCATTTCCAAAGACGGTAATTTTATATTCTAGGACTACAAAATATAAATAAGTAGCATCCAAATGAGGCCCCATTCCATTCAAATCTACAACTTTCACTTTTATGCTAAAATATAGTATTCACGCATCAATGTCATGACCCCGAATTTAGCTTGCTAATTTGACCCGTTCAAAAAATAGGGGAGACCTTTTTCAATCAACTGAAGCAACTGCAGTTTTAGGCTGGTCGTGTAAGAGCAGATGCTATGCTGCTAAAATATTATTGTATTGAAAAGTGTTGTCCGTTAAGGAGTTTATTCCAGGAGCTCACCGTTTTCGAAATGTCCGATCATTATTTTTATCCCAGTCCAGTCCTGGACTCCTTGATTGGCTCAAAAGCTTCTTACAAAATATTTAGTATCCAGACATGTGGTTTTCATCATTAATTATGTGTATTGTACACAATTGATGCATATTATCAAGGTTTTATTTCATGTTGTTCGTATCATAACGTCTAACCAAGGATTGGGAAAAAGTTGTCGGGTCATTATGTCACTGAAAGCCTTCGGAATGTTATATTTAATCTAATGTGAAATTGTTTTGATATCTGTAGTCATATAATTAAGTGATTTTCCGAAAGGTCTTCCCCTATTTATTTTTTGAATGTGTCTAGCTGAAATTCAGAATGGTGAAACTGACACATGAATAGTATATTCTAACATAAAAATTATAGTTTATGAGTACTTCACTATCATTATATTCATCATAGCACATATCAACATGGCAGACTGACAAAGTGAGGCGTTTTTGTATATGTACCTTAGCAACCAATAAAGTTACATATATCTGATTGTGCAGTACAAAATTATACCAAAAAAATTGACAGACTTTGACAATTTTGTTGAATGGAATATCTCATATTTCAGTACATACTCGGATAGACCCTTCCAAGATAAAAAGATTTATATAATATACTACACTATATTCTATAGCGTTTTGGTGATTAGTTGTTGTGTTATAAGTGACTATGTACAAAAACGCTTATCTATGACAAACTTCTAGTTTGCCGTAAGGTAATGATTTTATATTCCATGGTTATAAACTACCAATGAGGAGCTTCAAAATGACGTATTACACGACACCCTATTCCATTTAAAAAATGTTACAAAATGGCGCCCTGTCGCCATCTTTAAATTTTCATTTGCTTTTACGTTAAAATAAAGTATCAATGCATCAAATTTTTAGTCTGAATTTTAGCTTGCTGACTTGACCAGTTCATGAAATAAATAGGGAGGGGGATCTTTGTGAAAAGCACTGTATAATGCGTTAGTAAAAAAATCCGTCACGTCACATTTCAAGTTTCACGACCTCCCAAGAAGTATGTATAGAAATATTCCTAAGTGAAAAGAAAATTATAGAAATGTTGGTATATCACTTATCAACCGATTTTATTATTAATCTAGGGCATAAATAGTCTATGGAAATCAACACTCTTCATTTTTGATTGTGTACAGGTATACGTATACGAAACCTTGACCTGCCCCTCGATTCACGATAAGGCACACACTTTAATTGTTAGCTTTTCCGTGTTTAACAAGTTCAATGTCAATGGAAATGCATTAACAGAGGTAATTCTTTCCATTGCTAGCAATTCAGTGCATTGCGAGTCAGAGTATCGATAACAACGGATAATATGAACTGGAAAACAACATACCGGGGGTTTCAGATTCGACCATCACCTTTGGGATCTCGGAAACGGTAACAGATAGGAAGTCGCTTAAATGGAGCAAACTTTCGTATTTACGTAACAAAATGTCGCTTATACAGTTACGGAATTCAAAGTACTTCCGCATGGGTATCATGTAAAAAACCTATAAAACGTCAAAAAACCTAAGATATCATCTTGCAAACTAGGTAGTTTTTATTGCGCAAACAGTCATTCCACTAGAATCGTTGTGAACGTCCATCTCGGGAGGATCACTCAACTAAACTAAACGCATTATTGGTTGTATATGTTTTGTGAGGCCAAATGGTCCAGGTCTGCAGTTTTTATCTCTGAGAAGAAAGTTGGTTGAATAGCAAGATCGCATCTGGATGATTATGTGTATTGCTGTGTGAGAAAATCATCACTGAATATGCTGCCAATGAAGTATATCTATTGGCTGCGCCCGACAGGTTATTTTTATGTTGTGCTTTCTGAAGAGAGGTTATGTTCAAAGTTATAAATTACGAAAAACTGAGGAGAATTACGGGAAATTATCACCGCGCCCGCGTTGTGTGTAATTACTGTTAGCATGTATATGGCTTGTAATTTGATAGTGTACAGTGAATATAATTATTTCTTATCTCTCAGTTTTGAAATTCGGCAAATTTGTATATGTAATTTCCAGAATGGATAAGAAAAAGTGGATGCTAACTAGTTAAACAGAGTTTTCCCAAAATCGTTTACTTTTTTCCTGACCTTATTCGTACAAATATATTATGAATGTCTGGAATCAGAATTAAAAACTCGATTCACCTGTGCAAAAATCCAACATGGCGTCTTTGATAAAGAATAAAGTTGACGCTGGAAGTCAAGAGTCGAAACGCCATGTTGAAATTCTAATTATACCAATGTGTAGATTAGAAAAAGCGGCAATGTTAATGTGATATTTATTTGGAAATCCAACTACAGATAAAGTCAGGAAAAAAATAAAACTATTTTGGGGAAATTCGTTTCTTTTTTTTTCTCTTCGAAAGTACTTTGAATTTCGAAGCTTTCTAAGTGAGATTTTGCTGCTTACCTTAAGACGGAACTCTGCTCCCTTTAAGCGTCTTCGTATCTCTTATCGTATCGAGATCCCAATGGTGAGGGTGGAATTTGAAACCCGGTGTATATACAGAATGCAGGAATTGTTACTACAACCCCTTTCCCAGCCCACCTCGCAGAAGGATATTAAAACATTTGTAAACGATACAACGTCCTGTTTTCTCAAGCATTCAAATACCTTAATTGAAAACCTTTACTTGAATATGCTCAAGGTATATGGTGCAAAAGAGGTAGAGGGGTTTAAAAAGGCACAGAGAGGTTTAAATAAATTGAGAGTTGAAGTAATACACTTGCCACCTGAAAAAAGACTTATAAGTTTGAAGTTTCTAACTTTACCAAAAAGAAAACTGCAGGGGGGCTTTATAGAAACATTCAAGATTATAAACGATAATTATTTATTTATTTATTTACTAGTATACATATATACACTATCCGAACGGTTTATTACACCATTTAACGGATAGGGACACAGGAATCAATTATAAGACGAAATTGTTCTAAAATAACTTAAAATTGTCAAATGACAACCTACTGTTAAGTAATCTTTTTAAGCTACGCAAATTACAAAAGTACAAATCTACAGCATTTCTTGCATACTACATATGTATATCGGAGAGGAAAGCAACGCATTCGTTCTAGCTACGTTTAAGTAAAAGTATTTTGAACTGGATCGCGTCTTAGCATTAGGTACATGAATTAGAATCTTACCGAGTAAATATTCACAATCTATGGCATTATTAAGCATGTTATATAAAAATACACAAGCAGCGTAGTTTCTGCGCTTCTCCAAGTTACAGAGGTTATATCTGCTAAGTAATACATCATGCCTGAAGCCATCTCCTAGATACGCACCATCTTCCTTGTGCCACAAATATTTCACAAACCGCCTCTGAATTCTTTTATTCGAGTGAACTTCATGAACAGGATACCATATTATACAGCAGTATTCAATTTTGGATCGAACAAATGAATTATATAACGAAATCATGGTATAAGTTCACATTATTGAAATCCCTACAATTTCTGATAATGAAGCCCAAACTTTTATAGGCCTTGCTAACAACAGCATCAATATGCGAAACAAATGTAAGTTTGGTATCAAAGAATATACCTAAGTCATGAAACTCTTCACACATGTTAAGTTGCGAATTATCAGTGTTATATATAGAAATAGTGTAGCATTTATCAGCATTAAGGTACAGCTTGTTACGGTGACACCACTTATTTAGGTTGCTCAAGTCGTTTTGCTATACATTACAGTCGTCCATGGTTTCAAGTTTACAATAAATCTTCAAGTCATCTGCATATAGAAGACAGCTACTGTGTAGCTCCCCAACGACGTCATCAATGAACATTTGGAAAAGCAAAGGGCCAAGAGCAGGCCCTTGAGGTACGCCGGAAGGAGGTATAATCTGAGTGGAGGTGAAGCCACTGTATTCTATTATAAATGTGTAAAGCTATTGAGAAGAAGCTTGTTATCAAAGCAAGTTGTCTATAATTGGAATTGGCTAAGGGAGCTTGGTGTATGTGTAATGCAATTCGAAAATGATTCACTGGCAAAATATGATTGGAAAATTAGCCAAAAGTATGGGCGACAACTAAACACTCTTGATGACAGTGTAAACATATGGGCTTGACTCTTTCTAGTCTAACGTTTTGGCAGAAAATTCATTGGCTTTAATTTTAATAAACACAGAATAAAATCAAGTTGCCTTTGGAAACAAAAGTTTGTTTACTTACTTTACTGTCAGATGACATTTATTTATTTTGAACTTTTCACTTTAAGATGTATAAACTAGAAATAAGAAAAAGTATCTACAAGTTGGTTGGGCAGGTACCCAAAGGTACTCAGCGGAGTGCAAGCAGGGATTATGTCTGAATATCCCAAAAAGTGGAAGAGCACGTGCATTTACTGCACCGAGGTGAGAGAGATTGGTGAGAAGACCAAAAAATCAGGTTGGAATGGTGACAAGGAGACTGGGTCTTCAATACATATCTTATAAGAGTACAATATCGTTGGAATTGAGGAGGAATGATCTTAAATATCGAAAGGCTTACGTGCCCCAAATACTCTCAAGCGCAACTCCTTCGTGCTGTCGTCAACCGAGGCGTGTGTATACTTTCCGAATGGAAAAATCATTATTTTAGATCACGAAAAGTGTTTCACTTTGAGTAATTCTGAAATGAAGGAAACGACGGATTTTATACAGACAACGTAGAAGAATGGCCTGACAATGTTAGATACAAACATAAAGCGACATTTGCAGATAAAATCCTTGTCTGGTGCGCAACTTCTAACAGAGGTGCATCCCAACCTTTTGTGGGAAGAGTGAGTGGTGAAGCTTTGAATAGTCAGAGAGAGAGAGAGAGAGAGAGAGAGAGAGAGAGAGAGCTATATTGATAAATGCCTTTCCAAATTGCTTCAGTTCGTCCACGAACATCATGCTAATGACCAAATCATGTTTTGGCCAGACCCAGCATCATTCTTTTTCTCACGAGATGCCCAAGACTGGCTTCGAAAACACAACATACCTTTTGTTCCCAAAAACGATAATCCTCCAAGCTTACCGCAGGCACGCCCAATAAAGGATTTTTGGGATTTACTGTCTAGGAAGGTTTATGATGGAGGCTGGGAAGCCCAAGATGAAGAACAATTAAGACGGCGAATTTACGAAAATCTGAGAGAAATTGATCTGAATTCCGACCAGGACCTGATTATTCGATAGTATATCTTATTTAAGTATTGAGTTATAATTTATGATAACTATTTAGTGTTTAAATAAATGTCTTAATTAAAAAAATCTGATAAATATTTTGTGCCAAAACTTTTAGGGCATACGTTATTCGAATTCGTTGACTTCAGCGAATCCGTGGTCACGTATCCACTATCAAATTCAAGATAATAACCAAATGAAAATGGTATTTACCATTTTGGATTGGTATTTACCGATCCGTTCAAGCGAGTGTGGTTATCACTTTGGTTATCAGACCCGTGACGTCATCAATCAGGTGTTATATGTCATAGTTATCACCGTAAAATTATGGTATTTACCCAATTCGGGAGTAGTTTTATATATTTGAAATGTGACAAGTTAGAATTTTGGCGGGTATTGGATATTTTTGTGGTACTTCAGCTTCATTTTTGGGAAACCTGATACATGCTGACTTCAGTTGTAGCATAAAGTAGAGCACCTTATTAGTTATACTCATTACTGTTGTTGGGGACACTTTAAATCTAGTTCCTATTCTTAACAAAATATCCTGTGTAGCCATATACCACAAGAATATTAAAATACGGCCATATAAACTCACTGGATAATGTCCACCTGTATACGGTTTTGCTAATATCTTTTTTCATCGCTTTCTCCTACCATTTCTGCTAAATCAATAAATGTTTGATTTGACACGCGGAAAAGTTTAGAGAATTGAAAGTCATCATAGCTACAAAGCCATGGTGCCACCATTAAAATTTTGAGCGTCATATATTTTATTTTCACCACAAACTTGTTTAAAGATGAGAGATTTTCTCAAGTGATTTAACACCTGAACAATATCTTCTGTAAAAAAAACATTTCTCAAATTAATATTATGAAAGGTTTACTTTTTGTACTTTCCATACCACCGTTGCAGACGAAAAAGCACCGATTATTAAGTGATAATAAAAATAGTCAGAAATTATATACCCGCTTTTCTAAAATAAACAACTTGCAACAAAACCGCGGTTAAAACCAACGCGTTCAAGCGATTCGAGTCACTGACGTCATCAACTCGGGTGTCATCTTAAACTATATTATAACCGCGGTATATAACAAATTTTAATTTCGCTTGGATTTGATTCTGTGTTTTTATGGCATCGAAATGGACAGAATTGTGGATACTTCATGACACTTATAAAGAGACGAACACGTTCATGATCTGAATTTTCTTTGCAATGAGAATGTGTCTATTAACACATAATCCTTTCTTTTTGGAACAACATTCACACATATGCCCCTAAAACAATTCGATGTCCTGATTGGTTAGTAAGGGTTGTGATAATCAATCCGTGATGAGGCATCGTTGTGGATCCAGATATTAGACTTAATGCAAGGTTAGGGCTACATCGTAATATTTTTTTTCAAATAAAAAATGTGTTTTCTAATACTTCATTTTATAATTCTAGGAACTGGCTGAAAGAAGTACAAAGAGCTGCAAAACATAAAGACCGACCTCGAAAGCCTAGCCTATCGAGAGCGATATTTAAAACATTTTATAAAACCTACCTCGTATATGGCCTTTTCCTGTTATTCCAGTGTTTAGTGATAAAGTAAGTGATTTATCTAGGTACACATACCATGTATGAAAGTATTATCGAAGATTTGCGTTGTTTGCTTTAAGTTAAAATTTTGCTTGTATACACAAATAATGTTGATATATTAAAAAATAGCCTTGAATAGGGTGACACCTGGTCGACACTAAAGGCCGATTTATAAAATCTGACGTTACCATACCGCTGACGGTTGAAATCACTTTATAAACTTGCTAACGTTACAGCGCGTGTCGCATAACATAAAATAAAAAACGTGTAACACGTCTGATAATTCACATTTTTGTTAATTTAGCTAAATAAAATTAGCAAATATACTAAGTGACATATAAATCCGAACACCCAGTTTAAATGGTTTTATTTTAATAAAATTTTGTATAAGTACTTAATGAAGCATAATAAGTAAATGATAAAAATTTCAAAATGATTGCACTGCTTTAAAGCCCTTTGACCTTTAATAATGTGTGGATGCACCCTGATGTGCTACGCATTCTAAAACGCGCCTAGGCATGCTTCTGATCAGGTGGTCAATGTCCTCCTGTGGTATCTCATTCCAGGCAACCACCAACTCCTCTTGAAGTGCTTCTAGAGTCTGAAGAGGACGTTGCAAATTGAGCAATCTCCTACCCATCATATCCCACACGTGCTCAATTGGGGATAAGTCGGGAGATCTTGGTGGCCATGGTAACAATGTGACATCATTATGTTGAGAGAAGTCTATTGTGACTCTTGCAATATGTGGTCGGTCATTATCTTGTTGGAAAGTTGGATCTGCCAGGGTGTCAAGATAGGGTAAAAGATGGGGTTCTAGAACTTCGTGGATATAACGCTGCGCCTTCATGTTACCTCTGATGAAGATTAAAGGTGACCTGGAACCATAAGCCATAGCACCCCAAACCATAACTCCAACAGTGTGATGAACATGTCTGAGTTCGAATGTCAGTTACAGCGCTTATTCGAACACCAAGTATACGCGAAAGTGCTCGTTTTGAAGGCAATTTCCTAGAAATGCCTACATTTCGGGATATTCCGCTATGAAAACAGGCCATCTCTGCTAATATATTTTGAATGCGAAATTGTATCTTTGTATTCATGCATGTAACGTATGTTCCGTTTTTACGAAAAAACAGCAGAACAGAAATTGGAACAAATATTGGAACACTTAAATCAGACAAAAAGTGTACAAACCACTGCAAGAGTGACAAAAAGTAACTACTCTTTCTCCATATTAGTAGGAGACGGGGAACGTCTATTTATCTCATAGCTAACACTAATGACTCATTGTTGTCACCCACCTTGATTTATTTATAACAAATAAATTTTATTTATTAAACCAATTTACAACTCCTACAATGTCCAACCTCCAAACATTCACTAAATAAAAATATCTGAAAATGAGCTTGTGTGCTTGAAAACTAAAATTATGAAAATTGATGCAGGTAAACATAAATAACAATTAATTTTCTAGAATAACATGAAGCCATTGTCGATCCATAAATGAAACAAAACATAGAAAATAATAAAAAAAAAATTACAAAGGATATTAAATACATTTTTCGATAAAAATCCATTTATTAGGTTAGAACTAGCGGCTTAAAAAATAAAGCATTCACATGAAACTTGATCGACATCGAAATGTTACTATTAAATCTCTTTCAGATAAAAAAAGACATAAACATTGATGCGCGCACTCATTGTTTTGAAAAAATGTTAGCTCCAAGAATAGAAAAAATAATGTTAACAAAAAGGTTACTAATTTTCCACCTTATTCAGAAAATATACATTTAGTTTGAATTGCTCTTGCGCCCAGACATCGTCGTAAAACAACGACATCATTCATACATTTATTTATAAAATATGTTAGTTATGGATCCTGTTGAAAAAACTCTTCTTTGTGTGTTGAGGTTACGCCTCCAAGCGGCATCTTACGGAGTGGAAACTAGTATATTCGCAAAACTTACTAACATACTTTTACAAATGTTTATTGTTTGTACGACAAAAATATTGAGAAACTGTAATAACACTAACTAGAGAATATTTAATTAGAAGTATCGAATCTCTGAAAAAACTGAGTGAACTAGTATATCTCGTACTGTTCTGGTTGTTCCCTCATAAGGGATTGGAATGTATCTCTTGAGCGGCAAGCGAAGACGAACTTGCTGTAGGCCCATTCCTCCATTTCCCAATTTCGTACTTCCCGGCATATATAGACCAGCAGACTTAGTTTATGCAACCTGACGAGGTTCGGTAATTCATTTTCTTCCAAGAATACCTCTTCGATCTCCTCAAGGGCATAGTCACGGAGGGTACGTTTCAACATAATGAAATAGATTCCGTATAATGCCAATATGCCTGTTCCACCAACGAATACTTCGATAAGGTTTGGTAGCTTTACCACCCTATCCGAAAATAGGTATATGACTAGTACGCCTTCGCAATCGTGAAAAGGTAGACCACCCAAGAATCTTAAGTAATTTAGGTCCTCGCATTGTTCTGTAACTTCCCACCATAGTGAACTTTGTTCGTCTGGCATTTTGTGTCCAATTAACAAAATTCAACAAAAAACTGTGGATTCCTCCTTTCACCACGTCGCCTTCTAACCCTGGCACGACCATCGTGCATGCCTAAACAAAATCGAGACTCGTCCCTAAAGACAATACTGTTCCATTCCTGATCCCAGAGTGACCGTTGTCTGCACCACTCAAGCCGATTACGTCGGGAAGACCCAGTGTGGCCGGTATGAAAACAAGCCAAAACTTCTCATTCGTCGGTAAACACTTCGCATGCCAAAATGTCTTCCATGTTCTGCAAACCATTCATTTGCAATGGACCTGGTAGTGGAGAAACGGTCCCTTAAGGCCAATAATCTTAGGCGGCGATCTTCACGGTCTGTTGTTCTACGGCGACGTCCAGTGCCCCTTGCTCTTTGCGTACGGCCTTCTCGAAGCCATGCCTGACAACACCTAACCACAGTGTCTACACTTCTTTGCACTCTAACTGCAATTGCCCGAAAAGAAAGTCCAGCTTCCCGAAGTCCCACTATACGGCCCCTATCAAACTCACTATGTTGACGAAATCGTACAGGTCTCCGTACTCTAGGCATCGTAACCGATCGTAAAGGATGTCAAGAACCAAAATTCGCCAACGTTGATTCTTTACTGCGGCTGAAATATTCATTTTTAGAGCGTTAGTGAATTAAAAAAAAGCAGTATAAAAACCGGAATGTCCAACTGATAAGGCTGAAAATTTTTTCACTTGTTATTTACAATAAGATAAATACATTCACCAACTTTTATTAAAATAAAACCATTTAAACTGGGTGTTCGGATTTATATGTCACTTAGTATAAGTCAGTCAATCGGGGTTTATAAATCGGCCTTAAGTCCTCTGCAATGATATAGATTATGTATAATGAGGATTTGCTTTTGAAGTTTTCGATCTTTTGCAAAGTAAAAGAATGTCAAAGAGCAATAAGCTGTATGAATCAAGTTTTAACATTATCTAATCAGTGCATTTAAGATATTCTAAGCTTACGCTAATATTCCGAGAAGTGAGCCTATCTATTTATAGTGGATACCAAATAAAACCCGATGTACGTCATCGATCTGGAGCTGTGCGCTGTTGCCAGAATTTGCACATTTTCTTTTAAGCAAATAAATTTAATAAAATAAATTGTTTATATATACCTACCATTTACTATAATACCATTATGTTAAAAATAAATAAACTTGTTGTAAAATTAAATTCCTTTCTGAATAAAAACACCGGATTTGGTAGATATTCAAAAACACAAAATATTTAAAGAACAAATTGTTTTATCGTATTTTAATTAATTTGATTATTTATTTATGATATGGGAACTACAACACTTTTTCAATTCACATCAAAGAGAAGAAAGAACTCAGGTGATGCGATGTTACACAATACCGGCAACTAGCGGCAAGGAGTACTCTTTATCGAGCCTGATATTAACCGCATGGTATGGTTCAGTTGTATATCAATTCCGGAGTTTGATTACATTATACAGAATATATTTTGATGTTTTAACTATTCTGAATCACTGGAATCAGTAGTCATCGTTAACATGGATAATAAGGGGAAGAATTTCCTGTGTATCCATTACTTGTTCCCTCCTAAACCATTTCATAATTATCTCCTCTGTATGTCTAATGGAGTTCTTCCACATATCAGGGGTAATAGTTTGGAGTGCCTCTTGCCACATTTTTAGGCAGTCATTTTCAGTGTGGCCAAGTTATCGACCACATACATTTTGGTTGGTTTATTCCTAAAAAAAAAAAAAATAGGAACAAAATGCATAAAGATTGGGTATTCTGTTCACTGTGCAACAATCGTTAGAAGTTCAGATTTGAATGCTTCATGTGGATACTGTATTTTTTGTTCATTTAACCAATTCTGAATTTCAGCCTCTCTCCATGAGCTATTGGGAGTTTTTACTAATAACATGCTATGGTATGATGCATTATCCATAACAATCACAGAGGGTTGGGTCAAGCTTATTAGTAATTGATTTTCAAACCAATATAAAAAGTTTTGCTGGTTCATTTCACCATGGTAATCATTAAGCTGGGTTTTCGATGAAAATATGAGCGACGCACCTTCAACAAATCCATTTTCATTGCCAGCGTGAACTATGATATACCAACAAATGCATTTAATTTTTATATAGAGCTTATTTTTCTATACATTTGAAAGCCCACATTTTTCCATCAACTTTGGTACTTCTAATACTTCGCCTGTCATTATCTTGCTATGAACGGTGAACGGTGCCATTTTTGAAAATCCAAGTCTCATCTAAGAAGACAAACTGATAAATAGCCTCTTGTTTATTTTGTACGTATGATCTCAAAAAACTAACACGTTTAGATGCAATATTGGGAAGTTCTCGTTTGGGGTTATCTTTCTCCCATTTGAAGCCTATTTCTTCTAATAGTCTGCTTAACGACATACGACTGCCCTCAAATAATTGCTTAGCTTTTAATTGCTCCCACAAGCCAGACAGTGTTACATGTTGTTCTACAAAAAAACAATTATACATTCTCTAATTCAAAATATGTTTGTTGGGCAACTTACTCTTTTCATACATGTTGTAAATAGTATTACGAATACCACTTGTATTGAGCCTTGAAATATTAGTAACTCTCTTTGGAGTACATCGTTTTTTAGGAGGCGATTGTAAAACTTCTTTATTTTTGACTGCCTGTGAAATACCACTTACAGTAGACACATTTAATTTCAATGCTGCTGCTACACGCTAAAAATAAGAAAAAGAAGATTAACCTTAATGTTCCTATTACTTATGCTATCAACAAGCGTAAACTCACCTCCCTTACAGCAGTTAAAGGCAAAAGTTGGCCATTATTATCCCTTTCCCGTTCGAAGTATTCTAATAAGCATGATATGAGCTCTTTACACCGACTGTTAAGTTGTTTAGGCATTTTGGATACTTTACACCACTTCACAGTAACTGTTGTTCTGAAAAGAACAATTTTTAATCGGCAAGGCAACGATTCAAAGCTCAAATAGCGCAAAACTCACAAACTAAACAATAAAGAACTAATTGTACGACAAAAGGACAATGGCAACTGATGTCAACAAATGAGAAGTGGCAACTTCACATTTCTCTGCACGGCACTACCAACCGAATCGAGACGGGAAAATTTAAACTTCAAGTAGAAATGTCACATTGAATGTAGTCAACTGTTGGTAACCATGATTCTTATGAATGACATCACCTATGACGTGCATCGGATTTTATTTGGTATCCACTATATAAACCTTATCGCGTATGGCCAGCTTAAATTTAACGATAACTAACGGTAAATGATAAAATAGTTAATCTACTTGATGCCATCGATTCGCCTTTTCAGGATGTTTCAGCCAATAGTGTTAGCACTATACATCGGTTATTATGACAAAGGTACCAATGCATTAGGACCAGAAATCGGATGGTTGTTAGCAGTTGGCGTGGTTACTATGTCATTCGTGAATATGATAATCATGCATTACACTAACTTGGGCTGTGTGAGAATTGGCATGCGAGTTAGGATAGCATGTTGCTCTTTGATCTATAGGAAGGTGAGTTACCTTATAGGATCGGATCCCGTAATACTTCAACTATGCAGTTTACATGAATTCTGTATTACTGGTATGTTGTATTAGTACTAATAAATGTAATATGACCGTTCAAATGTCAAGAAACCAAAACAATAACCAACCAGTAATTATTATGAAAACGTCGTAATATCACTAGGGTGCAAGTAAATACATATATATACAGGGTGACGTCGAAGTCGAAGTTGAGTCATTTATTTTAACAGTGAGTAGATCTGATCAAAAGAAATGTTTTTTCCTTTACCATTTTTCTGGTAAAATTAAAGTAACAAAGTTATAGCCCTTTGGAAGTTTGAGTACCGCCCTGTCTCAATAATAATATTATAGGTTTGTTCGTGTTTGGCGACAACGGATATAATCCGCCTGACCGGTTCATCGCATCGGAAACAAAAAAGCGAAAGAATTTGAATCGTTTATCACGATGTTTTTCGTCAGTCGATAACGCGTTAGTGAATAGTAGTGTTTGTTGCGTGGCTCAAACGAAATCAAAAATGGCACATGTTTACGAAAATGCTGAACTTGTGGACATGATTCTTATTTACGGGGGGGCAGTCTTTACAAAATGCTCCCGGATGCATCACGGATTTATGCGAATCGGTTTCCCAATCGAGTGCAACCAACCCCTCGTGCCTTTGTTAATGTAGTACAAAGGGCTCGTGAATCAGGTGACTTAAGACCTCACAGGTCAGGGCATGCTGCTCCAAGACCGCACGATCAAATACAGGTCCACACTGAAATAATTGTCGGGACGATACTTTATTAAACAAGGTAACATTTTTTTTTATTTATTTTTTTATTTTTACACACATATTTTGGTTTATCTTCCTTCTACAATCATTATCTGAAAATTAATGACTCAACTTCAAAGTATATATAAAGAGAAAATTATCATGCGGAGAAAAGTATATAACAAAAATAGGAAAATAGTGGGCAAAATCCGCTGCCCACTCCACACGGTCGTGTACAGGAAATACCTCGCACACGCACTCCAGGACGTTATGGTAATGTCGATCCTGACACGTAAGCGGTGGAAGGCTACTCTGTGAGAAGTTACTTCCAATCTGCTTGGCCTCCAGAAAAAATGAGTGTCATTGCTCTGGATTGCGAGCCGCTTCATTATATTTGCTCCTGGACTTTGGCTCGTCTGTTCTCTTCAGTGGGGCTTTATTAAAAGGTGTACTTTGATTTTCTGCTGACGAGCAGTGTCGCCCGATTTGTTGAACCAGCCGTTGGACCCTGCTTCAGGCACTTTTACTCTATGAGCGATGTATTTCTCCATCTCAACGTAGGTAATTTCGGTTATCGATGAACAGAAAGCCAACGCATATGCGTCAGGAAAAAAAAAATTCCTATTTTTGTTATATATATATATATATATATATATATACCTTGAGACGTGGTCATTGTCGTCTAGACCAGTTAGGTGAAAAACTAAAGCTTCCGCCTTTTGTTGGGTACTTCGACAAAATTTAAGCAAAGAGGCCTCTTTATACTTTTTTAATCTCTCTAGCTTTCAATGGTCTTTGCCATCATCATCAGGAGCTGTAATAACATTGAGAAAAATAGCAACAATTGTGCAAAATGAATTTAGATTAACTTACAGTAGTATGTGAGGATGTTGCTAAATGCTATTTACATTGAAGATGAGGGAAAACACCCAGTAACCTGGTGAAAGCCGGATACATGGTACATTAGTCAATATATATATATATAGAGGAAAAACCAAATTTGTCTGAAGGCTTGAGTTCAACGCGGTCATCACCACATTACCTAGCGACGGGGACGCCACCAGAAAATGTTCGTACAGGCTTCTACAATAGGTTATGTCAAACCAAGAAGGAGGTCGCGTGTACGCAGGTGAAAACCATTTCGAAGCAGGACGGCACTCCCCAATGAGCGCAGAATCGCTCATCTATGATCATGGAGGTGGAAACCTTGCCTTGGATTGTACGAAATGCGGTGTTTCCAAGCGATACCAGTGATTGAGTGTTGCAGAATTTGTGGCGATCCTAACCTTTCATTACGACGTAAAATAGAGTGCCGACCCTCAGCACAGTAGCACAGCAGTCTATGATACTGTACGCGGCTCCAGTTTGGTGCGATGCTATGGATGCTGGCAGAACTCGACAGCGACTAAATGTGGTGATAAGGAAAATGGCAGTTTGTATTGCTTATACCGCTGTAGCGGTTATTTCAGGAATGCCCCCAATAGATTTATTGGTGAGACAAAGAGAGGAGCTATGCTCAAATATCAGCAAAGACACTGCAAGAGCGAACTTTTTCGAACCTTGACAGACACAGTGGGAAAATATTGAAAAAGGAAGGTGGACACGGACACTAATAAGGAACACCAAATAGTGGTGTAACAGATCTCACGGGGAGGTAGACTTCTTTATTACCCAAATGTTGTCAGGATATGGATTTTTTCAAGCCTACTCATATCGTTTTAAGATAGTAGACAGCCCTACATGCAAGTACTGCAGGATACAGGACAATGATGCTGAACATACCCTTTTCCAATGCTCCTCATTAATTGAAGAAGATATAACTGAAGACAATGTCGCAAAACTCAAGCTTAAGAGCGAATTGGACTGGGAATGTATAGCTAAGATGGCTAGAACTATAATGAAGAACACGAGGAACGAGCAGGACAATGCTACTACAACATAGCAAATTAAGATTGCCATTGCAACAGCGACGCAATGCTCCCGTAGTCCCGTTGTTGTGTGGAGAAGAGGCAGAGCAGAAGTTTATTCCTGGAGTAGGAGCCTCCGGTCACCGTAAAGAGCGATGCGTGCATCTACAACACCGCGGCGAACACATGAAGACGAAGACCATCAGGTTTTTCCTCTGCACACAAAAATAATCTCAATTCAAGGAATTGGTGTAACATATTGGCAACGTCACAGATTGCCGCGTCAGCACACACTTCTCTCTCGTACACATTGAACTCAAGCCGTCAGACAAATTTGGTTTTCAGGGTATACATAGAAATCCATATTTTATTGACGTCGTAATGTGTAAGAGAGAGAAGCGTGAGAAGCGTGCAATACGTATGTTAGAAAGCGACAGAACCCCCACGTTGCCTTGCAACTCGAGCTGCGAGGCCACGGTTGCGACTTGATGCTTTTGCATTGGCGCACTTTTGGAACATATGTAGGTATTGTGCACTCTCCTCGCGCTTCTCTCTTGTACACATTACGGCGTCAGTAAAATATGGATTTTTCTGTATATATATATATATATATATACATTTATATAATATGAAGCATAATACGGAGAGGCGTAAAAATTTGTACATTTACTAACTAGAACTCTAGGAAGGTTGTAGGCATGTTTTTCTCCGTACGAATACCCCAAAACTTGGCAACCCCACATTTTTTTCAAAAATCAGGATATCAAAAAAGCATTGTGTGACTATCGAGGACGACAACAAAAATGTTGAGCCGTGTATAATTTAATATCGGTCTACAGTCAAACGATTCTGCTTTTATGACTTCTGTTTGCAAGATGGCTTTAAGTGCGGTTGCAACTGGAAGAATCATTTGTGATGTTGGTAAAACAAATTATTATCTATTGACTTCGACTAATTGTTGACAGCTCTTAAAATTAAGCCAAGGATCCCTTGGTCAAACCGCAGCAGGTCAGCTAGTGAATCTCCTGTCAAATGACGTTCAACGTTTCGATATGGCTTCCACATACCTTCACTACCTCTGGATCATGCCATTGCAGTCGATTATAGCCTTCTATGTTATGTACAGAAGCGTACAGATGGCGGCTGTAGCTGGTATGGCAGCTATTGCTTTGCAGGCAATACCTTTGCAAGGTAGGATTACAACATTATCAGCATATGATGACATTTATCTTAAGAAACAGTTCCGTTCGATGATGAATACACCCTAAGGCTAAGATTGTATTGAGCAGGTTACACAAATTTCAATTTACGAGGCCTGTAAATTAAGTGATGAGACTTATTACTTAATTTTTTTTGTCCAAATTTAATTACAATTTTATATTTTCACCATCAAAATAACTTCCTTCTGAATCCATGCAGCATTGGAGACGGTTCTTTCACTCCTCATAGCCGTGCTGGAACTCCGATAGTAGAGTAGTCTTAGCTGGTCGATTGCAGCCGTTTGAATGTTGCCAACTGCCCCAAAATGAGTTCCCTTGAGGTGATTTTTCAACTTCGGAAAGTGGAAAAAGTCACAAGGGCTCAAGTTAGGCGAATAAGGAGGCTGAGGAGCCACAGGTATGTTTTTACTGGCCAGAAACTCGTTTATTGACATTGCGGTGTGACAAGAAGCATTACCGTGATGCAACACCCAGTTCTTCTTGATCTGATGAACGGTGGTGCGAGTCAAATTCAACTCTTTCTCGATCATTCTGACATCGGTTCTTAAAGATGAAGGCCTTCCGCTTCGTGGTTCATCTTCAATCGACTCTCTGCCTTCCGAAAATGCCTTAAACCACCGAAAAACCGGGGCTCTTGACAAAACACTATCTCCGTAGGCCCACTGAAGTCTAGCAAGAGATTCCGTTGCACTGTGTCCAAGTCTGAAGCAAAACCTGAAAGCACACCGTTGCTCGAAATTGATGTCACTCATTTTTAGAACACAATAGAACAAACTGCTTCACAAAAAAAAATCGCTACGGACAACCAAATGACTCGAGCGAGTTCAAACTTGTACCGAAGGCGGGTCACATGTTCCCCTGTCTCCTCTCTAAGCCCGGCGCGTCCAGTGTTGCCAGATCGAACGCTACGTTGCCAGTCTCATCACCTAATTTACAGACCTCGTGTGCTTGTTGAGTAGTATGCCACGAACAATGCATTGATCACTGATTTTTGTTTGGCGTAGTTGGATGAAAGAAAAAACACCTCGAAATCAGAATTCCTGGAACGGCCGGTTCTCCTTAAGTACATACTCGTGGTGCTGCACGATGTTGTTATGCAGAGGTTGAAAGACGTATTATTTCATATCCGTCTCGGGGAATGATTGGTTATGTTTACCAACATTTCGGCTACCTCGGTGGCCTTTTCCAAAGTCGAAAATAGAAAAGTGACGATGTATTTAAATATTTTCATATCTAGTTGTCTTCCAGGCAAGAGTTCATTTGTTCATGCCGCTACTATACAGTGTGTTTCAATAACATCATGGACGGTCTTGTACCACGCCGAAATCTTGCGTAAACCTGTATCGCTGCCAAAAGACTGGGAGGCCTTCCAAAGCGACAAGCGCGCATGTGGTTATCTATTATTTTGGATGCACCAGACAACGCTCATTTCCCACTCATGCTTCAAAAACGCAAGAATGCGAAAACCCACCCAGAACAATTGTCGTAACATACCGACTACTAATGCTGCATCTACATTGCTTATAGATATAATGTTAGAAATAGTACTTCGACATCAGATTGCGTGCCAATAACAGTAGATAGATCAAAATTCAATTTGCATATACCATCCTCAAAGGCATGAAAATATGAGATATGTATGTTTGAAATTGTATTTTTTGCAGGATATCTCTCGAAACTACAGGGAATCTATAGATCAAAGATAGCCTTACGAACAGACTACAGAGTAAAATTGATGAGTGAGATCACGTCAGGCATACAAGTAATCAAAATGTACGCATGGGAAAAGCCTTTTGAGAAGATTGTTGAACTTGCTAGAAAGTAAGTGTTTTTCTATATACATTAATGGACAAAAGTATATAGACAAATTAATATTGTGCCGTATTTCTTTTTCAACTTGTTTTATTAATACAACAACCTGTATAAATAATTCGTTATAGCATAATACTCACTTATACATAAATAAATTCATTAGACTCCCGTCAATAAAAAATTAATTGAAAAAACTGGAACTATGAAGGACAAAAATATATAGACAAAGCAAAACAATTATAGAAAAAAGAAGCAAAGTTCATTGAATTATAGAAAACCAACCATGTTTGTGTTAATATTTTGTAGCATAACCATTATTATCAATCACCGCATGGCATCGTCTCGGCATAGATTGTAAAAGCTTCTTGATTTAAGATTAATCAATCTATCTCCACTTTTGCTCTAAAGCGGCAAAAAATTCATCCTTGTTTGAATAATTTTTATCTCGCATTTGCTTATCTAAGTATTCCCACACATTTTCAATAGGGTTTATATCGGGAGACTGTGAAGGCCATTTGAGAACTGGTATTTTTTCATGGAGTAAGAATTTCTTTGCGAGATTTGAAGTGTGCTTCGGGTATAGGGCACCATGACATGTTTTAGTATGTCTGTGTATACAAGCTTATCCATAATGCCATCTATTCTATGTAAAGGTCCCATCCCAAACCCCGAAAAGCACTCCCAAAACCATAACAGACCCGCCTCCATGTTTGACAGTGGGCAAAGTGTACTTGGGGTTCAATCTTTGTCCACTAGGACGTCTAACGTAATGAACACCATCTGATCCAAACATATTGAACTTGGATTCGTCACTGAAACATACCCTCTTCCAATCACAGATGCTCCAATCAAGATGCAACCGTGCAAATTGTAATCGGTCCTTACGGTTTTTCCTCGAGATTAGCTGCTTCTTACTCGGGCGACGTGCAAATAACTTCAAATCATTGAATCTTCTACTTATAGTTTTCGTAGAAACACTGACAATTCCTTTTGTCTCGATTTCGGCTTTTATTTGCCTTGGGGTTTTAAACGGATCTTTGGACGAAATTCACTTAAAGGCTTCTAAGATACCTTTTTGTTTATATTTGTTCAATATTGCCCAAACCGCTTTACGCTTCAGCTTCAATTTTTTGGCAATATCGATTTGACGTTGAACATCTTTGTACAACTCAATGATTTTAGTTTTCGCATCGAAAGAAATTTCTGGACCACGTGGCATGGTCTTAAAATCACTCAACTTATTCCACAATACTTGATGAACACAAACTAATCCTCTTCTGACACGAAACTAATGTTGTAAAGAATTTGTGTACATATTTTTGTCCTTCATAAAAAAGTACTTATATTCAGGCTTGTATTGTGCTCATTGCAGATAATAGGTACCTTTACACTTACACTCTTTCGCGTGGGTTTTGAACGTGACGTTCCAATCGTGCGCGCAAGGACGGTAATGTAGATGTGAGTCGGGCATGTGCGCAAACACTTCGTACTTTAGTAAAGACTTGATTGCGGGAGAAGAACGTGAAGGTTTTTTGTGCATAATTTGAGTGTGCGTGAGTGATTGGCACGCGGTATAACAAATAAAATAATTACATTGTAAGTAAAGTTTATTATTGTAAAATTGTAAATTACATTTTAATTCATTTTTACAGATATTTTCAATAAATACTTATTTTGTGTGCCATGGGAGACAGTAGGTACTGGTCGAAAGAGTTTATAAGGCATTTTATTGAAGTTTATAAATCGTATCCGTGTCTATGGAAGATCAAGTCAAAAGACTATACAAATAAAAACCTAAAAAATAAAGCTTACGAGAAATTGGTATAGGTCTGCAAAACCATTTTTCCTGAGGCAAATAAAGACTATGTTATAAAAAAGATTCAAAGCTTCAGAGGTTCTTTTCGCAAGGAAGTTAAAAAGGTGGCAGAATCAATGCGAAGTGGAGCTGGGGCAGATGATGTCTACATACCCACTTTATGGTACTACGACCTATTGTTATTTACCAGTGATCAGGAAATACCAACCGCTAGTATAAGCAATATGGATACGGACGAATTAGAGGCAGGATGTGACAATGGGGCAGGAGAACATGCAGAGAATAATGAATGCCAAATACTACAAGAGCATAATAATGAAAGTGAATCTCAGGATACTGAATTACAAGAAAACACAGACACAGGCGTAAAAAAAATTTATTAACACAGGTGAGTTATAATAATATAAATTAAGCTTTTCCTTTCTTTATCATGTCAAGTTGCCACGGAACTTTTCCTTCCAAATTAAAATATTGTTTGTACTTCTCGCGATTACTTTTAGCGTTTATTGTTACATTTTTTTGCGTACTTGTTCGTAAACTGGTAAGTTCGGTACTGCTATTCCGCCATTCACCCATTTGTAATTCGTGAGTCGCCAAATCTTCGTGATCAAACGATCTGGGAGGTGCATAAGAAGTCGTGCGTCTTATAAGAAAATTGTGCAAAGCACAAATAGCCAAAACCACGTAGGTGATATTTTGTGGATCGGTAATGTGTATAAAACTCGAAAACGTGCAGCTAGTAAACCAAAAGTATTCTCAACAACATTGCGTGCACGGGATAAACGGTAGTTAAAAACTCTATTTTCCAATGATAGATCTCTTTGAGGATACGGTTTCAAAAAATTTTCGTGCAGTGAAAATGCTTCATCGCCTAAGAAAACGTAATTAAGATGTTTCTCCGTTTCATCATTATTCGGCAAATGTAATTGACCTGAAAAAATTATCGTTTTAATAAAAAAAACCTCTTGCATAAAAAAATGACCTTTATTTTATACCTTTTGTCAATTTATCATAAAATTCTGTGTACTCCAAAATTCCTCCATCGGAATGTCTTCCATTTTTCCCAACATCGACGTAAATAAATTCATAATTTGCGTTTACAAGCGCTAGTAGAACGATGCTATAAAAGTTTTTGTAGTTGTAATATTGAGCTCCCGAATGAGGAGGCGGAACAATGCGTATATGCTTCCCGTCAAGGGCTCCCCCACAATTTATAAACTGCCATTGATTTTTAAAATCCGATGCTACTTGGCACCAATCGTCTTTTGTTTTTGGAAACTGGAATAAAATAATACTTTTAATTTTTTTTTAGAATTCGCATGCTTCACAATCAAAACCACCCCTTTCCACACCCAAATCTACAAACGTGACCACAAGGCAAAAAGTCAAGAGCAACTTTAATAAACAAAATGCTGAATTCATGCAATTTTGCAGAAACCAGTTGCAAATGACAAACAATGTTATTAGTGAATATGATGCAGTTGGAATTTCATGGAGCGAAAAATTAAAACGGATGGATTCCACTCAAGCCATTTTGGCCGAAGCATTGGTTAATAAAGTTATGACCCAAGGATTATTAAAAAAGTTGACATGTACTACAACCCTGTCGGATACAGAGGAGACACGAAATACTTCAATTTCATCCTGCAGTCGATACACGGTATTATCAAATTCTTCTGGTCAGCAATGGCAGTTTACATCACCATCAGACCAGGACTGTAATCAACAGAGGCAGGTTTTATCACCTTCGGAGCAAGAATCTGATCAACAGTGGCAGGTTACATCACCACCAGTGACAGAACAAGCAATCGAGACCTCTTCAACAAATATAGTGGATTTTTATAATACTGCTGCAGATAATATAGATGGGTAAAACCCCTACCTAGCAGCAAATATTTTCTTTTTTAAAGTTGTTCTTTTCACTGTTCTTTTTTTCTACGAAACCATTTATTTTTAAGATATACCTACTTGCTGTTCGCTAAAAAATAATTGTTTTTATTTTTAATAAACTTACCTTCAAATAAGTTTCTTTAAGAACCTGATATATGGCTTTGCATGTTTCGGGTATGATGTAGCATAAGGAAGATGGTGATATTCCAGTAGAAAATTTAAGATCTTCATAGGAGCGACCTGTCGCTAAGTAGCGTAATGTGGCAGCTAGTCTTTCCTCCGCACTAATACTTTCTCTCATCTTCGTGTTTTGTTTAGAAATAATAGGTGAGATCAATTCTAATAATATATTAAATGTATCAAAGTCCATACGAAGATAATTTTTAAAATCACTAGGATAATCTTGTCTTAGTTCTTTTAATAGTGGCATGTGACCATATTTGTTACGAGCCTCCATCCATTTTTTCACCCATGTGCTTCTTTTTCTCTTATTATTTATAAAATTTATTTGTACAGCCATACAAAGAGCCACTTTTAATTTATGCTGCTTTATTTTGTACATTTTTTTATATCAATCCTTTCAGAATTTCTAAAACGCCTGAAGAACGGTCAAATCCGCGCGATAACCAACACTTTTTACTTTACACTGACATGTTTTTCCTTTTACGTTATATACGCGCGGTTAAGTCTGCGCGAATGGAACGTTGAATTTTTTATTTTTCTAGTAACACACTCTTGGAACGCTACGTTCTTGAAGCGCATTATTGGCGGCACGATTGGAACGCCGTTCAAACCCCACGCGAAAGAGTGTAAGTGTAAAGGTACCTAATGTAAAAACAAGAAATTTCGTTTTTCTACTACTAGCGCAATGAAGTATGAATTCGTTTTCTAAAGATATTTAGGTAAATATTCATATTTGTCTATATACTTTTGTCCATTACTGTATATCTCATAAAAGAATAATAAATCTTGATACAACAAGACATATACGAGGTATCGTAGATTATGGTCATTTTTTAGGAATCGCATAGAACAGCAAAGTAAGATTTCTCATGACGGTTGAAAAAATTTTGACTAAGTTTGAGCTATAATTTTAGTGAAGTATTTGCATTTTTGATACTCTGTAGCAGATAATAGATGGATAGGATGGCCCACCGATGCGGGGTCGCAATATTGCTTGCAAACAGAAGGTTTTTCAAATAACTATTTATGGCAACTTTTTAAACAGTCGGGCCAAATGGACAAATCAGACATTTTTGGAGTGCCACTGAGGATTATTATTTTAGTTATTCCTAGAACTTGTGCAGTAAAAAAATTGTGTCCCAATTTTGAGCCACGTATCAGTGTTATTTTTCTAAACGGACTGCTTTGTTTTCGATTAGACACTCAGATACTCTTTTATAAGAAAAAAGATTGATATGATACTTGAGGGCTTTGATTATTTATTATTTGATGAACTACTGGGTATCATATGTAAAACACCAAAGTTTGACAACGTGCATATCTGCCATCTTGATAGATAGATAAAGTAGTGAATTTTGTGTCAAAGAATTCCTGTTTCCAATTTTAGGCTAATTGATCAAAATCTTGAACGTTTACTTACAATGTAAATTGACGAGGAAGTAATATAATCGCGAAAAATTTTGAAAATGATATATTTGACGTAACATGACATCTACACATGTCTGTCGGTCTTTCTGTCCGCTAATACGCGGATTTTGATGAAATTTTGACACAAGGTTACTGCTATGCCAACGAAGAAAAAGCTTTGTACGAAAAAACTGATAATCGTTCAAACTTCGTTTTTTGACGTCAGATTCAGAAAATATTTTGAGGGGAGTGAATATTGGGTGTTGTATGGGGTGGGAGGCTGTACATTTTGCATCTTTGGTATCAGTGAAAGACCTTTATTATTATTATTAATTATTATTATTCGTCATCGCTCAGGGAAACTCACCATTCGCGTGGTGGCAGCACAAGTATCGCTATCTATGTCTTCGAAATACGTAATACCGCAAAAGAATAAAAGAGAAAATTCGGCCAATTATGGCTGCCGTTTACATATCCAAGGCCAAATGTATCAGTACATATGTACATAGATTTGCATAACGAAAAATTTAAAACAACTTAAAAACTCGGTATATGAACACCATCGACTTTTATCTCAGGAAAAAGCTTGTAAGAAGAGGAATCCAAACATGCTGAAATATACAGGGTGTTCCATTTTTATTATTTTTTGAAATTACGTTTTGCTTTTTCGGCCACCCTGTGTTGATCAAAAAGTTGATGAGTCAGATTGAAATTGAGGATAATGAAAAAATATTCACACAAAATTGACTACCTGCCAAGATATCATTTGCAAGCTGTCAAATGTTAGTTTAATTTTTAGAAAAATACCCAATAGCTCAATAACTCATATTATTTATTTTGAAGATCATCAACTCTAATATGTGGGCCAAAATTGGAACACCCTGTATATGTGGGAGTATTTTATAAATGTGTTCTCAGATACTTGTATAATAACCCTGTGAAAAGTTTTTGTTTAGAAGAAATATTCCGTCATCACACGGAAGGGCAAAGTTGCAAAAATGTCGACTTTCAATATGTCCACGATTGCACGGTTTTTTGCAGATACGAAATCGATTACATAACGAAAACATCCTACGTGCGCGGTGTCACCGTGGCCAGTTATGTGTTCATGGAACGTCTGACGCTCTACTTGACGCTAGTCGCTTACGTCATCTGGAGTGGCAAACCGTTGACAGGTGACGTGGTGTTCTCGGTCGCACAACTGTACAACACCGTCCAGTTGTACATGAGCATCTTTTTCCCACTGGCCATGTCTACATATGCGGAGGCGAGGGTGTCGGTGAAGAGGATTGAGGATTTCTTGAGACTGTCGGAGACAAAGTCGAAGGGAAGCGGTGCTAGGATTAGCAAAGGGGACCCAGGAGAGATAAAATTGACCAAGGTGAGAGAGTGATAGATCCCAATTCACGTAAAAAGTACATTCCGCTAAAAGTAATTTATTTTAATCGCCACGGACATCGTGCCGCCTCATTCCCTTCGCCCATGCGTATGACCTCTGTATACATTGAGAACCAAATTTGTCTGACGTCTTGAGTTCAATGTGTATGGAAGAGAAGCGCGTATAGGCACATATATGTTAGGGTTATAAAGAGATAGAAGCCGGCTGTGTAGCGCAGCTCATATTCGTGTTCCTTAAATTAAGATGCATATTGAAAATATGCGTTAGCTTATGACGTCGAATCTTAAGATCGATTGGGGATCGGTCCTAACGGCGCTCCATTTTAGGTCGAAATGATAGTTCAGGTTCGCCACAAATTCTGCAACATTGCATCATTGGTTCGCTTGGCAACACCGCATCTCTTACATTCCACCTCCATGATCATAGATGAGCGATTTTGATCAGTACCATCTAGCGCTCATTTGGGTGTCGTCCTGCCTCGAAATGGTTTTCACCTGCGTACACGCAGGCAATGCTAATTTGTATGGTATTTGTTAGATTATCCCACAGGATGTGTTGATTTTATCATCATCGGTGGAAATTTTAAAATAAATTAAAACATCAAGTCGCATAAAAAGTGAAATAAATAATTCTAATCAAAATGAAAACAAAATATCAAATTAAATGTTCGAATAAACCTCCTTCCTGGATTTGACAGTAACCTAACCTATTGTAGAAGAATGTGCGGACATTTTCTCGTGTAACATATTTGCAACGCGGCAAATTGCACGACCTTCTGTGTCACCGTTGCTCGGCAATGTGGTGATGACCTTCGTCCTTCAGCCGCCTTTGATCTCTTTCTAACATGTATTGATACACACTTCTCTCGCTCCTCTTTCGTACACATTGAACTCAAGCTGTCAGACTAGGGTTTTTGGGTCTAGCTTATATTGTATTCCTATTTTGATTATTGTTGTCTAGTGCAGGAGTGTCCAACATCGGCCCCCGGGCCACCACCCGGCCGGCATAGGCCCTTTATCCAGCCCGCGAGCCAGTTACAACTCTCATCCAAAATTCAAAAATAGTTTCGGACCCCGTGTCACCTACGAGCTGAATATGTTACAAATGGATACCCGCCTCAATAGGAACTGCGCGCGCTCAAAACCCCCGCTCATCGAGACTCGTCAGTCCGCGTCCCTCCACAAGGGAAAGATCAGCAATGCACGCAGCTATATGAACATGTTCAAGTTTTCACGGAAAAGCTCTTATTCTTGGAAAAGCAGCTGCAACAAAAGCAGTTGGTTCATTGGGAGACCTTACCCTCAAGAAATCAAGAGTCTTTGCAAAGTGCGTGTTGTTGTTGCAAAGGTTGAGGAATGAGTTTCATGAAAGATTCGTAGACTTCAAATTCCCAGCTGAAAAGTGTTCCAAAATCCATTTGATGTTGAAATTGAAAACGCATAACCGAAACAACAGTTAGAATTGATTGAATTGCATAGTTGTTCCCATCTAAAAAAGGCATATAATGGTTGTCTTCCAAACGAATTGTTTGGATTTTACAAAAATTATATTACACCCAACCAATACCCGTAAAAAAATAACGGGAAGACTGTCTTATGCTGCAGATTTTTTTGAAAAGGTTGATTTCATCATCATATACACCGTATGTTTATAATATAGTGCCATACTAAAAAGAACACCCAGTAATAATGAATTTATTACAGAGATTTTTAAGGTAAATGTTTGTTTAGGCTAGGTCAAAAACGATCAGCTTCTCTATCAGATCGATAAAATATAAATAAGCTATAGTTGTGTTTTGTAGCTACAATTGGCACTTGTTCATCGTACAGTACGTGGGGAATAGCTGTTCTAATCTGTTCATTATGCCTAGAGCGAAGATTTTCAGCAGTTAGCTATTTTGATAGGGGGTGAATAGTGGGCTTGCGAAAGGCTAGTTGGTCCGTTAGAGAAATGTCCACCAGGCTGCACAAAAGGCTAAATACGGTGGTGGTTTGTTGTAGGGCCTGGATTCTCTCAAGAACGGCCCCACGCCAAGATGGCGATCTTAGGCTTTTGGCTCTGCGGGACCGCTTCTCGTCCACAAGGTCAATTACGGACTATATTACGGACCAATGGCTTGGGAGCATGGAAAGCGTATTATAAGGCGAATTGACTATCGCCCGATCAACAGTTTTGGACTTACTTCATGCCGTCCTCGGTTTGCCCACCTAGGCACCAAAGTGATCGGCTTGGTGCAGAGAACGGCTGAACTAGGACCTCGAATGGAATACCATTGTCTTTAGTAACAAGTTCAAATTCTCTTTGGGAACGTGGAAGGGTGGGAAGGCGACGAGGTGAAAGTCGAGATTCTTAATTTGGTATCGGGGGCTATTGCTTATAGAAGGTCACCAATGGTGAGAAGAGAATGCCACAGGTTTTGCCTTATCCACGAACGCTCACCAAACTACAATTACGTTGATCCATGTTGAAGAAAAAAAAATCGATTTGTCGCCTTGGCCCCTAGATCTTCCGATCTATCACCAATTGAACACGTCTAGGACATTATGGGAACAATATTACTCCGTTTGCTCCATCTTCCACAGCCTCAGGCCCAATAATTATTTTTTTTTCAACTGATGGGTTTTCCCAAATTTTGATCAATTACAATTTTACTCAATTACTACTTGAAAGAAAATGTATGCAAAAAATGTTGTAAATTCATTATTACTGGGTGTCATTTTTTATATGTCACGTATTATATGTGAGCAATTGTTGGTGCCAGGTATCTGCAACCTGGATATCGAACGCAATCGCACCTACCCTGATCGACATCAACTTCCATATCAAGCCAGGGACTTTATGCTGTGTTGTAGGCAGTGTAGGTGCTGGAAAATCTTCTCTATTACAGTTGCTTATTGGAGAGTTACAGGTCAGTTTTCTCTTTATTGAATACCTTTTTACTGCTAAGTGCTGCCGAGCATGCGTCCTTACATGAATAGTTTAACTGTATTTATTAATGTTTCACTATTTTAAATGTACTTTTAATAAACACTAATTAATTGAACAGTCTAATTGATAGATAGATAGATAGTTTTTATTTGTTCCAAAAGTAACAGACAAGTTACAATAAAATAAGGTTAGAGCTAGCTATAGAACATTGTTAAAAATTTACAAATTCCTTTCAAATTCTTCAAATAAAACAGGTTCATGGTTTGCTATTTTCAAGAAAATGGGTTTAATATCACTTCAATCAATCCTGTTTTTAAAAATTCAGTTTAATTAAATCGAATAATTTAGTTACTTAAATTACTTGAAAAGTTTATTATAGAAAACGATGATTTTCCAGAAATATTGTTTTACTGACCATGTTTTCTCAGCGTGGCAGTACGTTGTTTTTATTCACGTAAGCTTGCTACATAAAAACTGCAATATGAAATAGATTACTTTCTTGCAAATAATGCGGTCGCAACAATCTGGAAGAAGTTCACCATATCGAGTTATACGAGTAAATTAATATTGCCCGCTGTTTGTCCAATATCAGAGCGTTTTTTTATATATGTAATACGCCCAAAGAATTAAAGGAGCAAGAAACAAAAATTTCGGTGATCTTTGACATGCTGTATTTCGGTGAAAAATGGTCGCTTCTAAAAAAAAGCATTTTAGAGCTTCAAGATTCTAGTTTTCAGGTTTTTTAGTCGAAAAAATTTAGGAACATGCAATTCAAATAGTTTTTTTCAAAACTTTTACCTTCATTTTAGTACAGGACCACGACGAAATTAATTTCTGTTGGGCCACCATATGGATTAGATGACCCGTTTATTCAGCTACAATATTCTAATTTTAAAATCTCGATACGATCATTTAGCGTGGAGGTGTCTGAATAAGAATGAAAAAGGATCCTTTTGTCATCAACCACTGATATCTCGGCAACCAGTGGTCGCACAGAGAATGTAAGGGTATTTCTGAATACTGGAATAAACCTCCTATAAGCTTTGATTGCAATCTTTGAATAAAATTAGGTTTTTGTTTCCTTAGTGTTGATTTCAAAAAAGTCACTTTTTGTCTTGTTTTCGTCAAATTTTTGTATCACAACATCTTGTAATTTGGTTGAAAATTGAAAAATTATGTTTCTTCTTTTGTTGTCACTATTGGATATCTGTAACACCTTTAATTTTAAAAAAGCAATTGGAAAAGTTTTATTCTTTTATTCATGCAATATTTAAAAAAACAAAAATACTGACCCGCGGCGGATCTAGAAAATGAAGGATCTCAAAGGCGGATGTAGGAATTTGTCGGTCCGGAAAAACCGTATGATGGATCGATCTGTCTTCGTGCAGGGTTATAAGTGATACATTGAGGTAAAAAAAATGAAAACGTTAGCAGTTCCAAAGATGCGGTCGATTTTCCATAACAAGGTAAAAAGTAACTAAAATCTTATAGGAGATTTATTCCTCTTTTCAGAAATATCTGTACATTCTCTGTGCGCGCACTGGTTATCGACGGATGGATCCTTTTTCATTCAAAGTCAGATATCTTGGCGCTAAATGATCGTATCGAGATTTTAAGAACATGATATTAAGGCTAAATAAACTGGCTATCTGATTCATATGATGGCCTAACAGAAAAATGTTTTTCAAATACGTAGTCTAAATAGAACGCAAACATTTATAAAAAAATGTTCTTGCGCTATCTGTTAGACTTGCATGCCAATCGTTGCTTCTTTTTCGGCTAAGAAACCAGAAACCTAGAATCTTAAATCCACGAAAAGCGTTTTTTAAGCTTTTTTCAGTCTAGATTCGACCAGGTTTCACGAAAATACAGATAGTCAAAGATCACCGAATAAATTGGATTTTTTTCTTCCTCCCTTAATTTTTTGAGTATTGTAGTGATTATTTTCCAAAGCATGTATTTTGAAATCAAACTGGATTAAGAATAATTCAGCAGGTTTGTTTCAATTGAGATTGTTTTTACTCTATTATTTCACCACTTCTCTTTATACTAGTTTTGCTGAAAAGATAATAACTTTGATTCCAGGGCAGTGGAAGGGTTAATGTATCTGGAAGGATTGCATATGCTAATCAAGAGCCTTGGCTGTTTGTATCGAGCGTGAGAAATAACATACTGTTCGGTAGACAGTATCTTAAAAACAGGTATTTAGAATATTATCATGCAATAAAACCGAATGATTTTTCGAATAATCCACAAAACTTCCACATGTAACTTTCCATTACTTTTTCTCTCAGATACCATGACGTTGTAGATTGTTGTGCTCTCGAAACGGACTTCGAACAACTACCCTTTGGTGATAAAACAATGGTCGGCGAAAGAGGAGTGTCTTTGAGCGGAGGGCAAAGAGCAAGAATAAATTTAGCCAGGTACTGCATACATTATACATGATTACAAACAGGACCTAACAAACAATTGAAATATACTCAGTGGCAAAGAAAATAGAACACCCAGTAACAGGATTTTATTTGAATGAAATTTTGTGTATAATAATAATCTATATTTCAAATTGTACAATGACATTACAAAAATTGTATAGCCACTACAAAATGAAATGTTGCGTCACTATCACCATAACTATAGTAGTTTACCTGAGACCTTTTTTTGTGTTACATGATTATTTATCTTAAAACATCTACAATCTGAAACTATTACAACTCCCATAGAACTCATCTATTGTATAAGGCTTTGACTGTACTAGAAATTGCTTAATAGTCTTTTTAAATTTATGTAAACTGTTTATGTTTTTCATTTCATTTGGTAGATTGTTAAAAAATTTTAACCACATGTAAATAGGGCTTTTTTGTGTGGAGGATAATCTGTGTATTGGATAATTAACATTGACTGTTCGAGTATCATAAACAGTTTGCACCTCAAGCTCAAAATAAATTTTTATTTTTGAAAAAAATATGACATAGATATATACATTAGTCATGATTTTTTCAGTTTTAAACACCCCCCTGCAAGTTTCATTGAAATTTAGTCCCTTTAGCAGACGTACTGCTCTTTTTTGAACAACAATTTTTTTTTTAATAAACCTATTGCGCCCCAAAAAATAATCCCATACTTTAGAACACTTTCAAAATAGCATGGTACAATATTTTCATATTCGTATTATTTAGATAACTTGATATTACCCTAAAACCGTAGCAAATGGAATTGAGCCTCTTCAACAGTTCGAATACATGTGTTGTCCAATCTAAAAATTTAACAACATAGATGTCTAAGAATTTTACACTTTCACTCAACTGCAGTTGATGATCATCTATATCGATACACTGTGGCTTAACGACTTTACTCTGCTTAGTTCTAAATAATGTTTCATCAGTTTTGGATTTATTCAGCACTATTTTTTTCTCAGAAAACCATGTATTCCCACTCCTGAATAAGAGATTCCCATTAGCAGTTAGGTCCTCTACTCTTGTCCCACCCAACACTAAATTTGTGTCATCAGCATAGCAGATAATTGTATGCTTGCTCTCATCACCACTAGTAACAAAACAGAGATCGTTTAAAAAAACTACAAACAAAATGGGCCCAAAAGTCAAATCAATGTTTGACTTTCAAGTTTGACCTCCTTTAACAATTTTAACCCTCTGTTGTCAATTATAGAGGTATAACTTGAACAATTCTAGCGCAGTTCCTCTTACACTATATCTTTGTATAGTTAGGCATAAGCAAGAAGTCATGATTAAATGCTGAAGGGAAAAGGTTTACGGTATCTCTATATTGCTCTAATAATGTGTTGGGTTACCTTGATATCGTATACATTCATCCTGTCGCCGCACAGTGTGACGAATGACCAATCTAGGTGGACAAAATTAAAACATAAAAAATCTAAAACTACTGAGTATTTAGTAGAAAGGTTTGTATAAGCGGAATACGTAAAGATAAACACACAAAAAGTAGACCAGGGATTACGGTAGCACTGTAATCCTTGAGTTCCAACAATTTGGTGTTATTGGTGAAATTGATCATTCCTAAAAACCACCTTGTAGCATCCAAATTATTTTTCCGAAATGCAAGATAAATATAAAAATAAGTACCTAGTTATTTCATATGCGAAATTTAGTTGAATATAGTTTTATGATGATAGATGTGTGATTGTGTAATTTGTTAGTTTTCCTCCTAGAATAAACAATATGACTACCGCAGAAATTTTAATGTTGAAATTTTAAAAAATTGTGCTGAGTCACATATTGAAAAGGGAACTTTTGCCATTTACTAATGTGGGTGTATTGTTCATTTCAGCAATTGAATTCTGCGTATAGCACAACTGTAAAGAAATAGGCTCAATTATATAACAATTATAAGATCGATTTTTACTAGAAAACTTGTCAGATGTTTCAGAAAAAGAGCTGACTATATGGCTTCCAAAATAAAGCATAACTGGATATAATGCAAACCAAAGATGTTTTCTAGAAAAAAAACAGTGTTTGAATAGTATCTTCACATTATTATTATTTTTTTAATATTGGGATCGTACGTTCCATGTTGCGGCCAATTATTCAAGAGGACGCCCTGTAAAACATTCTTTGACAAATCAAGTGGGAAGTTTTTTCTCAGGTTTTGCTACCTAATTAAAAAAGCAAAGAAACGTTTCGGAAACGCGATCTTTTTCAGACGAAGAAGCATTAGTGATGTTTATTCACTGCTCAACAAACATTCTTATTATTTGATTCGCCAAAGTGTGCGAGCAAACAAATGCCAAACGTACCCTTTCTACTACCGGATGAAGAAATGGCAGAATGATTGTTGTCTTTCCGAAAATGAAATCGATGTCTCTGAGAGTAGTGTTCGAATGAAATTGCAGACCATATTACAACTAACAAGTCAAAGGCTTGCTATGACACTATGTTTTTAGATATAGACAATGTGTTAAATTGCTTCGGAAACTTTTCTTATAGATCTACAGGAAGTCCTGTTGAATTACTGGCCACAATAGGTAGAGTATAGTCCCAACATTTACAAGAAACTGTGAAGAGTTTTTTTTATTAATAAAGCCTTGTTTGCTTTTCTTTCCTCCCACTTAACCCCTCCAGCTCTTTCTCAGAAACATCTGACAGGTTTTCTTGTGCAAATCGATTGGATAATTGCTGTAAAATTTCTTTACAGCTGGACCACGTTCAAATAGCTTCCTACGGGATATGGATTCTTCAGTTGTTTAAATGAACAATACATCCACATTAGTAAATGTTGGAGGATCGTTTTTTATTATGTGATTCAGCATATTTCATAGCTTTAAGCTTGAAATGACTGCGGTAGTCCGCGGAAGATTTTTGTCATTTTTTTATTTATACTAGGACGAAAACTAACAAATTACTGTCTCACACATCTAACATCATAAGTGAAATTGAAATAACTATGTACTTATCTTTATACTCATCTTCCCTCATGGAAAAGTAATGTGGATGCTAGGAGGTGGTTTGGGACAATGTTAAATTTTGCTGCTTCCACAGCCGCTAACTAATACCTAATACCAAATTGTTAGAATTCAATGTTTACTTTGCGACCATAATCACTGGTCTACTTTTTGTATGGTTACTTTTCACGTACATATTTTGCTTATACAAACTACGTTGTCTACTAAACAGTAGTTTTAAATTTCTTATGTTTTAATTTTGTCCATCTAGATTGGTTATTCGTCCCACTGTGCATCTGGGATTCTGATTTATGTCTACCTTGAAGTATCCCAACCCAAGCTAGTTTTACTCTATCCCAAAGAGTTGCCAGCGCGAATGGAGGATGACGTAAAAAGGACTTCTTCCCATCATATCGCGCGGATTTGGAATGGTCTGGGGATCTAGGATGTCAAGGGAGGAGGTCGATTTCACCATTATTGAGGAAATTTATTGTAGCTCTGGCAATACGGCGAGAGTGATTATCTTATTCGAAAATAGTTCTCAAGTATTTGGACACATAGTAAAATATGAGGTTCTAATATTTCTTTGATACACCATTGTGGCGGCATGTTTTCTCTAAGGAAATTAGAGGTGACTTAACACCATACAAATATGTACCATGACTCCTACATTATGGTGAAAAATGACGTCCAACTGAATACGAACTATCGTAGGAGATATGGTTTGGGGCGCTATTGGATTTGGTGCTAAGTTACTACTAGTTCATTTTTTGACATTTCTCCAACCGCTTGAAAACCCTATTTACTACCAAGGTAATTCTCGTCTCCAAACTGCGAAAAGTACAGTAGACTACCTCAATAAAGCCTCCTTCCGTGGCCTCCCGGATCTCGAGACTTTTGGCCCATTGAACATCCGTGCGATACGATGGGAAAAAAAGTGGCTGGTTTACCTCATCCTCCACAATCGGTAACATAATTTACACATAAGAACCAAGTACAGCTAGTTTGGGATGGAATACCTCAAAGAGTCATAAATCACCTCATCTGAAGCATGTTTGGGGGTAGGTCAGCACCTTTACAAAGAAATCTAACGACACCCAAATCTTTTCAATTCAAAATTTAACCCCTACTTCCATTTTTACTGGGTTTTCCATTTTATTTGTCACTGGCTACATTTGAGCTATCTAATTCCTAATGATATTGTTTTAGGGCTGTGTACTCTGAGGCTGACATATATCTGTTTGACGACCCACTGTCGGCAGTAGATCCTCACGTAGCCAAGCACTTGTTTGGGAAATGTATTAGTGGATACTTGAAGGGAAAAACAAGAGTGTTAGTCACTCATCAAGTACAATTCCTCAGGGAGGCTGATGCCATTATAGTCATCAATAACGTAAGATATTACCGACTCTGAGCTATCTTTTTGTGGATTATAATACAGAATTGCTATTTTCAGGGCAAAATAGAAAAAACGGGAACTTTTGCAGAGCTATCGGAACAGGAATTGAACTGCTTAAAGCAAGAGGAACACGAACAAAAACAGGAACAAGAAAAAGGACCAAAGATAGAATTTAGAGAAAGACTGAAATCAATAGCTTCTATAAATGTGGGTTATTCTTTTTACTACAATCTATGTACAACAATAATTTTAGATTTTAATGATATGGTATGTTTCTAGAGCTCCGTACATAATGAAGAAGAACCCCAAGAGACTGATGAACTGATCGAAAAAGGTGCTATATCTACCTCAACGTACTTAGATTATTGTAAAGCCGGAGCTTCTTGGATAGTCTTAATATTATTAGTTTTATTATTGATAGTGGCTCAAATAGTGTCGAATGCTTCAGACTTATGGCTTACTTACTGGTAAATAACATATTTTATACAACATTATAGGAATAGTAAAATGTTATTTAAAAAAACTTGAGAGAAAAGAAAATGGGCACCGACGGGATTCGCGGGCATAACCCGCGTCTCCTCCATTCCGTTGTTGTTTACTAACCGTACTCGCTGTTGCGGTTGCGCTCATCCAAAAAATGTTATACAAGTTACTGTCTTCGCACGGTGGTACCGTGGAAATGTTATGGTGTTTACTTGAGGACAGCTGTCATGTTCATACCACCCGATCAGACGTCATGGAGCAGTATTCAAACGAGCAAGTTTAACTATTGTGAAAACTCACTACAAAAATAGAGAAAACTACGCGGAATCAGTAATGCGCCAAATGAGTCGACAGTTCGCTGTTTAATTACAAAATTTGAGAAAATTCACGTTGCAGAATGTGAAGACCACTGTTGGTCGCCGTCCCGGTTGGTCCCTCGAAAATATAGTCGCAGTGCGGGAAAGTGTGGCCGAGAATCCAGGCACTTCCATTCGGCATCGTGGCCAAGAATTGAACCTTACGAGACCCACTCTGCAACGAATTTTGACAAAAGATCTGTGCTTACACGCGTACAAGGTTCAACTGACGCAAGAACTCAAGCCAGCGGACCATGCGCAGCCCTGCGAGTGCCCTGGAGCACCACCAGATGCGGATTTCTCGAAGAAAATCATTTTCTCTGATTTGGCACATTTTCAACTGAACGGATACGTCAATAAGCAGAACTGCCGAATTTACCGTCGCGGGTTACCGTTTGGTGCTCGTTGTATAGTGGCGGAGTGAATGGATCATAATTCTTCGAAAATGCAGCTGGAACTGCGGTAACTGTTAATGTTGTGCGGTATCGCGAAATGTTAACCGAGGTCTTGTGGCCCCAGTTGGATCGAACTGATGTGGAGGATATGTTCTTACAACAAGACTGTGCGACCTGCCACACAGCACACGGAACAATGGCGTTACTGCGGACCAAGTTTCCAGACCGTGTCATCTCTCGGTTTGACCATCAAATTTGGCCACCAATATCGTACCATCTAACGCCAATGGACTTCTTCCTCTGGGGCTATGTGAAGGAAAAGGTGTATGCGAACAAGCCACAAACAGATGGACACCTTAAAGAGGAGATACGGCGCGTTATCGACGGAATAGGGCCACAGTTGTGCGAAAACGTTATACAGAATTATAAGGAAACACTGACCATGTGCCAGAGGTTTCATGGTGGCCATTTACCGGTTGTCCTATTTCATGTTGAATCGCAATTTCTCTTCATGTTGAAATATTAATACTCGCTTAATTCGAAAGGAAATTGTGATTTTCTTGAAAGTCCAGCGCTCTTATTGAGACACCCTTCACAAGACGATTGGAGATACCTTAGTACTACTCCGGTCCGTTTTACTTGAACGCAGCTGATCAAGGAGCTTGAAAGAACAAGGGAATAGTGGAGTGCCTAGAAATGAATTTGCGTCTAACAGTTGCAGACTAATTGATAAGTTCGGCAACACGGAATGGAGGAGATGCGGGTTCAAATACTGCCAGCACCCGTTTTTTCTTTCGCTCAAGTTGTTGTTTACTAAACATATTCGCTGTTGCAGATGCGCTCATCAGAAAAATCGTGTACAGTCAATGTTATGTTTTAGGACCAATATGGAAGAAGATGCGTTCTTCCATTCTAGATTATTGAACACTACAGGAAACAATACCGATTTGTATCTTAATACAACTAATAATGCGTATGATTCGTTGAACGGTTCAACATTGATAGCTGTTGCTGTAAATTATACCGATCCGGAACCCGTAAGTTAATTCATGTTTTCTCAACCACTATAAGTTTGTTTGTTTAAGATTTTCACAGTCCATGAAATATTCCTTTAATTTTCTTCTAAACATCTTTAAATTACAAGCACACTTTATATCATTATTTAGCTTGTTAAAGTAATCCTTTCTGAAATATTGATTTGCTAGTTATATTACTATTGCAATTTTGTAAATGAAGATCCATTTTTCCTCTTGTATAATAATTGTGGTAATGATTATTCGATTCTATGTAGTGTTCCAAATGCTGTAACAAAAGATGATTTTTTATTTTAAATATAAAAATAAGAGCCAAATATGATATCAAATTTTTTATATTCGATCACTGAAATTCTTGTAACATAGATTTTATTTTGGTGTACTTATTTTTATTCAATATTATTCTCATAGCTTTATTTTACCGGACTTGTAATTTTGAGAATACAGCTTCATTGGCAGTGAACAAGATAGTTGAACAATACAGTAAATGCGGTAGAATAATTGTACTATAAACTGTTTTCTTAGAATATGTACCAAGACTATGAGAAGCCCTATAAAAGTAATTTTGCAATAATGTATTCATAGTGATCCTCAAACTTTACTTTACTATCTAAATATATATATATATATATATATTTACCTAAATATTTAATTGATTCAACATTTTCAATTGTTTCACCATTTCTCCTAACTGTGATAGTATTTTCATTTGGCTATTTCCTGTTGGCGTACATTTTGTTTTAGAAGTATTCAATTTTAGTTTATTTACATTTAACCAATTTATGATTTTTTCCAAGTCAGAATTCAGCATTTTTAAAGCAGTGTCTATATTTTCATCTGATATGTATGTTGATATTAATGTATCATCTGCAAATATCTAAATTTTACAATACTCTGAAATATTAAAAATGTCATTAATGTATGAAATAAATAGTAGTGGACCTAGTTTACTACCTTGTGGTATACCAACGGAATAATTTTTTGGGCTTGATAATGTAGATCCAATTTTGATTTTTTGACTTCTGTAGAATTTTGAATGCAGATCCTTTAAGTTCGTAGTGATGCAATTTTGTAAGTAATTTATCCCTTTCAATTGTCTCAAACGCCCTTTTGAAGTCCAGAAACACTGTTATTGTATGTTTCCTATTGTTTGTTCATTACATATTTTCAGTGGCTCGATGATAGATCATATTACGTCAATATTTATACTCTCTTCATCTTTGGAGCTGTAATATTGACCTCCCTCAGGTCAATCTTCTACTTCAAAATATGTATGACGGCATCTAAGGTGTTACATAACCAAATGTTTTCCTGTATCTTACAAGCGCCAATGAGATTCTTCGATACCAATCCTTCTGGTAAGTTCTGCGCAATATCTTCTCAACTTAACTTCAAATTAATTCTAACATTCTAGTTTTATTTTTAATTAAGTGGATGTAATTAGTATTATTTTGATGTTTTATAGGTAGAATCTTGAATCGTTTCTCCAAAGACATGGGTGCCTTAGACGAACTGCTTCCTAAAGCTGCTTTGGATGCGATACAAGTATTTCTAGTGATGTTTGGAATACTCATAATGGTGTTCATTGTAACTCCATTGATGGTCATACCAGCAATAATTTTGGGCCTGATATTTTACTGGTTCAGAAGTGTATATATTGGCAGCGCACAGGACATCAAAAGACTAGAGGGTGGCAGTAAGTATTAAAATTGGAATCAGTTAATTTGTACAGTTTTGTAGCAATACCACCAGTGCCAAAATTGGAAATGAAATACACCACCTTCCAATTATTTATGAATTTTGAAAAAGCGTTTTGACTTCATTCCGAAATATCTAAATTAACGGAAGTGTTTTCTTGGCCCTTGCATTTGAGAATCTGGGAAACTACAAAAACCTTTGCTCAAAATTTAAAAAGATATTGTTACTGGAATAATACGTAAAAAATGCTAGTTTTCTATTAAAATTTAATTCGTTGGTAGTAAACGTTACATTCGATTTCAAAGTTACATGTGCTTGAATTTATATCCAACGCTCTCTTCCAGTATCCGACATTATTACTATTGCTTCTAACCTCAGATATTTGTGATTGCCACTTTATAAGCTTCTTCTGCCTCTTTTGCTATTGAATGAGCTATTAACCGCTTGTGTAGCAGTGGCGTAGCAAGGGGGGCGCCGGGGGCGGTCCACACCGGGTGTCACCTTTTTTGGGGTGACATCCACCCGGTGATTCAACTTTGAGAACAGTGTGCAAATATTAAAAAGAATGCACAGATTGCATTGCAAAGTAAAGGCTTAAGTGTTGACGAAACTGCTACAAAAATAGAGGCACTTCGTCTTTATATCGAATAAAAACGGGATCACATTGTGGAAGAGACAATAGATATTGAAACTGAAACAAGAACTACAAAAAGATATGTTGGATTGTCTTAACCGATTCAGAGTTGGACTCGAGACAAGATCGAAGTCTCCTCATTGTTCGAGATTGTCCAAAGAAATACTTTGCTTTTAGCGAATACTGAAGAACTGAAATTAGCTAAATCCAAATTTAATGATTGGTATGATGAGGTGTCAGAAAGAGAATTACTTTTGTAGATACCAATACTGCGAAGACACTTAATAGCCGCTAATGTTTATGATTGGCTATCTCTAGATTTTTTAAAGTTTATTATAGAATGGGATTTTACAGAATCTCTTCCAAATCTTATGATTGCACTAAAATTGTTCATGACGGATTGCGTGTCCGTAGCTTGATGTGAAAAGAGTTTCAGTAAACTGAAATTAATAGAAAACTGTTTGCGGGCAACAATGAGCCAATCGCGGCTTAGCAATCTTGGCAGATTAGCCATCTGATTAGCCATAGTTGGAGTATAAAAAAAAAAAAAAAAAAAAAAAAAAAAAAAAAAATCGAACACGGGTCAATACAAAATATAAATTTTGATGATGTTATTTCTAAGTTTGCTGTCAAAGCTAGAAAGAAAAGATTTTAACTGCAAGATAAAAATATATTTTCTGTATTAGTTTTTATTGTGTTTTTGTTATTTGTCCAATATTTTAAATATAAATATTAAATGATCCACGACGTTTATAAATCATATAAAATTTATTGCCGTTGACTTTCGATGGGGTGACACTACCAACTTCCGCTCCTGGTGCCACCCAAGGTAGCTACGCCACTGTCGTATAGCAAAGTCTTTCTATCTTATAGACACGCAGCAATACACAAAAAAGACCTTAGTGTTGAGAAAGTTACATCTTCCATGCACAACATTTTTTCATACACGAAATAACACTATATCCACTAAGAAATTTCATATCTTGCCTGACACTGTTTCACCCCTTTTACACAAACTGAACAGTTACAAAATCGTGACAGTTTTTACACTTCTGATTCTTTACAGTTAACAATAATGCTCTTGACAGTGATACTACTATGCATTTTCAATACAGTTAGTATTGATTGCTTTTTTATATGGCACCCTTGACATTGGTACAAAATTAAACATAAAGGGTACATCGTTGTTATCATTTTCTCGAAGTAGTGCTCCCAATTTTAGAAAACATAATAGGTTTCTTAGATTTACTTTGCACCTCGATATGACTTAGAGACTTTATATGAAGGGTCAAATATTTTCATTTGTTCACAACCATGGGAGCTCCTGGCGGATAGAACTCGATGAATCTTGCTAACATCTATCTTAAAAGGAATACACATACCAGAAAATAGACAATTGATAGACATCTTGAAATAGAATTTTTCTTGTTTCTTTTTTTTAGCTAGAGCTCCAGTATTTTCGTACATATCATCTACATTGTACGGTATTTCAACGATAAGATCCTCAAATGCGGAAGAAATGGTAAAGCGTGAATTTGACGGTCTACAGGACAGACATACCAGCACTTGGTTTTTATTCTTGACCAGCAGTGAAGCCTTTGGATTTTATCTGGACGTCATAAGCACCATATTTCTCTCTTTGGTGACTTTCCAGTTTCTCATTTTTGAAGATGGTGAGTTTAGTTTTAAGTGTCAAGAATATTTCAATATTCAAGTATATGGCTCATGCTTAAAATTGCCAGATAAGGGTAACGTCAACGTTTGTCACAATGTCATTATCCCCAAATCTCGAGTATGTACTTAAATTCAGTTATATTACTGGGTATCCCAGAAGTCGACGTCAAGCCGGAAATGGTAGATAGGCCAAAATTGGAAAAATCCACACCCTGTGATGATCTTTTAGTTTCCGTTACTGCAAATTTCAATTTTATCTTAGACTGAGTAAAAATGTATTTATTAAATTCACAATAAATAGTCAAACTTCTTAAAAATGATGGGTTATCATACGGGCTAATCTTATTATTATTAACAAACTCAGCTGCTTCCTTTATTCCCAGTAAAAAAATCGAGTGGATTTAAGTCTGGTGAACGGGCAGGCCACGAAATTGTACCAGACCGCCCTATCCATCTGTTCGGTTATTCCGCATAAAGGTATTTTCTACAGTTGGAGCTTAGTGCGCCGGGGGTCGTATTTCTGGTACCATATGTCTCTGCAAATGGTAGCCCGTCTTCCAGTAAATTTGGTAGATGATTTTATAAAAGCTCTAAATAAATTTCGCCATTCAAAAACTCTGGCAGCTCAAATAGTACAATGACTCTACCATTTAGAATATCGGTCCACATATTTACTTTAAAATCATACGGTGATCTATCTTATCTCATCAAATGTAGATTTTCCACATGACACTAGTGTTAAGTTGTGTAGATTCATGCAACCATCTTTTTTAAATGTCGACTCATCAGTCCATAAAATTTTGTCTAAAAATCTTCCCGAAATCTCTGTAACGTTGTTTGACAAACCCCAACTCTTGGAAGATAATCCCGGGCTGTATTTTTGGGCACTCCAGTGCTTACTTCTATTTGACGTACTGAAGTACTTCGTGTAGGACGACGTAGTCGTAAGGAAAGGAAATTCCTCCTTGTGCTTGATTTGAGAATCTTCCCTCAGAGAGTAAACGGTGCATATACAAAGAAACTCGGTGATCGGGATAACCAGCAGCATTTGGGCACCTCTCACGATAAAGCCTAGCTGGAGCACTAGCATTGCATCTGCATTCCCCATAAATGAGGTGCATGTTTTCGTATTCCCGTATGGTGTACACGCGGTGGCTCTACACAATCATGAATTAATAAAAGTGGCGTTACTCTCTGTTTTGCTATCACAGGGTATATATTTTTCCGTTTTTTTTATAACCTCTAATTTGAAAAGCATACGACTTGTTTTTTTTATATTTTTCTGATAACTATTATGACTTGGCCTATCCCCCGTTTACGGCTTGACGTCGACTCCTGGGACACCTTTTATATGTACAGGGTGCGCCATCTTTTATGTCGGTATGTAAACATGAAATAACTTTGAAAACGGAAAACAGATTTCTATATATCGGGTATTTTAATATGGTCCTTTACAATTTATTGGGACTAGTTTTTGAACACAACATCTATCAAGTGGCCACCTTTATTGGCCAAAACAAAATGTGGCCGTTTTGCTGCGTTTTCCTTTACTTTTTCGAGCATCTCTGGTGGTATAGCGGCGATTGCGGTACGAATGTTTGCCTTGAGTTCTTCTGTGGTCTGGGGCTTGCTGGCGTATACTTGAATTTTCCAATAACCCCACAAGAAGAAGTCCGGTGGGGTCAAATCTGTAGACCTGGGTGGACAGTCAATGTCACCTCTTTTTGATATCAGACGTCCAGGGAATTTTCGTTGCAGAAACTGGATTGTTTCATTTGCAGTGTGGCATGGCGCACTGTCTTGTTGAAACCAGTAACCATCAAGACCTTTTTCACACATTTGTGGGCAGACATAGTGAGCCAATATCCACCGATATCGATTTCCATCGACTGTTTCGTTTTCGTTGGCCCAGTGATGTTTTGGCGCAAACGCCGGCCCAAACACTTTTCGGTCATGTAACGGCATTTCGTGGATCTCATGTGGATTTCCCGTCCCCCAAATGCGGCAGTTTTGCTTCTTAATGCCGCCAGAGAGCGTGAAATGGGCCTCATCGGTCAACACAATTTGCTTCCAAAAATCAGGTTCAGCATCAACCATGCGAGCGACTATTTGGGCGTATTCCAAGCGACGTAGACGGTCAGTTGGCAATATTTTTTTATGTTAACTGCAACTTATAAGGAAACAAATGCTGAGCGCGGTGACGATACGACACTTTTGGGTTCTGGGCAACGCTGTCTCTGACCGCTTCAACCAATTCATTGGAACGTCTTGGTCGTTGATGAACGGTATGTTGACGATCTTCCACTGTCCCGTGCTTAAAAAAATTCGAAACCAAACGACAGATAGTGTTGCCACGATATTTTCGACGATATGCACGCTACGCTAACACAACTGAACGACGATTTTCAATGTACATTGTGACTATTTCGGCGCGTTGCTTCGGTGTAAAGCGATTCATGACTAAAATTGTAGTAAATTGACGTTTCAGAAACACGTATAACCAAATCACTCGGTTAGTAAATATCAAAGTCATTCGATGTTTCAATACCGACATAAAAGATGGCACACCCGGTATATAATTATAAATAATGTTTGTGGCATATGAATTTTATCATTCTAGAGAATACTCTAAGCGGAAACGTAGGTCTAGTAATCTCTCAGTGCCTCATTTTGACCGGCATGCTACAATTTGGAGTCAGGCAAACAGCAGAAGTGGCTAGTAACATGGTTAGTGTAGAAAGAGTGTTACAGTACACAACATTAGATAAAGAAGGACCATTTGAGACTTTGCCCGCCAATAAGCCTCCCTTAGGTTGGCCCGACAAAGGACATATACAGTTTGAGAAGGTATACCTGCGGTATGCTGCTGAGTTGGCTCCTGTATTGAAGAATTTAACCATTGAGGTCATGCCTGGCGAAAAAGTGAGTTCATAACAATGATTGGATAAACGCTTTTACAACAATGTTGTTAAAAAAATATCTTTATTACACACTTCATATTTAGAAGCTGCAGACCTATCTGTTTGCATTGATCACCGCATTTTCTAATTTTTTCCTGATGACAAGCACTATTCATACTTATTTCCCATTCTGTAGGTCGGTATAGTTGGACGAACGGGTGCAGGAAAATCGACGCTTATTTCTTCGCTATTTAGACTGGCTCCAATAGAAGGTGCTATCGTTATAGATGGGATAGATACAAGTAAAATCGGCCTAACAGAATTGAGATCGAGTATCTCTATCATACCTCAAGAGCCAGTATTATTTTCTGCCTCAGTTAGGTGAGAGAAACAGTCTGCCTACAATGCGATATATTAATCTTTAAGGTTGTTTTGTTGAACAGGTACAACTTGGATCCATTCGAAAAACATGGAGATGACGTTTTGTGGAAGGCATTGGAAGATGTAAGTTGCTTCTTTTATGAAGAAGTCGACGTCAAGCTGGAAACGGGAGGTAGGCCAAGTCATAACAGTTACCAGAAAAATATAAAAAAGATGTACTTTTGAAATTATAGGCCTGAAAGAATCGGAAAAATCTACACCCTGTGATGATCTTTTAGTTCACATTACTCTAAATTTCAGTGAGAGCAAGACAGATAGTAACGCCGCGCTTATTAATTTAGGATTGTGTAGTGCCACTATGCCTGTTTACACAGTACAGGAATACGCCAACATGCACCTCATCTATGGGGAATGTAGATGCAATGCTAGTGCTGCAGCTAGGCTTTATCGTGAGAGGTACCGAAATGCCTCAGGGTTATTTTTATTACGCAAAACACCTATATAATGTCAATTTGTTGACTAAGAAGGCTAGTGTGCAAATAGTTCATTGCGCGCTTGTTACAAGTAACGACAGCTAGTTCCATGTTAACGTCTTGTAGGAAAACTTACATAATGTTAAAAAACGACATAATGTCACTTTTCAGGTTAAGTAATACCCCTGCCGGTCACCGAGCTTTTGTGAATGTGCACCGTTTACTCTCAGATGGACGATTCCTAAATCAAGCACTTAGTGAAGGAAGAATGTCCTTCCCTTACGAAGACGTCGTGCTCCAGGCAGTCGAAGAAGACCCGCATACTTCATACATCAAATATAAGCAGGGACGCGAGTGCCCAAAACCACAGCCCACCGAATCTTGCGAAAGAACGAGCTCCACCTGCACTACGTACAGCGAGTATAATCTTTATAACCTCGAGATTATCTTTCAAGAGTTGAGTTTTGTCTAACAATGTCACAGACGCACCGGGAATATCCGCGATTTTCAGAGAAAATTTTATGGACTGATGCGTCAACATTTAAAATAGATAGTTACATGAATCTGTACAATTTACCCGAGTGGCATGTAGAAAATCCACATTGAATGAGACAAGATAGATCACAGTATCGCTTTAAAGTAAACACGTGGTCCGGGATTCTAAATGGTAGAATCATTGTACTCTTTGAGCTGCCAGAGTTCTTGAATGGAGAAATTTATTTAGACTTTGTACGAAATCATTTAACAAATTTATTGACGTGCCACTATGCATTTTAGCAAAGGCACGTGGTTCCAACATGCCCGTTCATTTAGAAAATATCTTGATGCGGAATATTACGTATCGTGAAAAGTGACATTATATAGATTTTTTTGACATTATGTTGGTTTTTTAGTGACATTATGAAGGTTTTTCTGCAAAATGTTAACTTAGCACTAGCTGATGAACACGTTGTGAACTCGTTTTGTAGTTGTACGTGTTGCCTAATCGTCATGATGCTTCAGTTTGTCTCTGATGTGATGTAAAATCTTCTTCAGAGATGGCATTACTGGAGGTCTAAGTTGTACACTATAGATAGAAGGAAACGGCAACGCATAGGTGCATAGTGAGGATTTCTGCGCTAATAATATGTATTGATGATGATTCCATTTAATTCTTGTCTCAAATATACTTCAAATCTAGAAATTACATATGCAAATTTGCTGAATTTCAAAATTGAGAGAGATGAGAAAAGAAAATTCCTGATTGGTCAAGGAACAGGTGAGAAAATATGCACAGACGGGAGTATTTATGAAATTGAATTACATTATTTTTCATTTTCAGTCATTTAAATTTTATAGAATTTTATCTTGAAATGTCAATAGAAAATGCAAATCAGCGCGTAGATATGAAGCATTACGAAAATGATTAATGTGTGATGCGTCGTTACTACTTTTTCTGTGATGTGGCTTAATTGCACACAACCCGGACGCGCCGGCGATTTCTAGTAGTGCTCAAAGTTTTTGAAAACACAAAAAACGGGAAAAATCGTAAATTATAACTTTGAACATTAACTGTCTTCAGAAAGGACAACATATGTATAAATAACCCGTTGGGCACAGCTAATAGATATACTTCATTTAGTAATAACATTCACATTCATTCTTCATACACATGCAGACCAATACACATAATCATCCACATGCGATCTTTCTTCTCAGAGTCGAAAACTGTAGTCAAAGTCACGAAAGATGACTATTACGTCATACCATAAATTGTACTTAAGTAATCAATGGATGTACTTCGATGATAAAAGCACAATGTCAGGAACAGAATGACAACAAATTTATATTATGACTTTGCGAAGTTAGGTTATTTCACTGATTATTATTTTTATTTTCATTTTATTTCATGGTTTTGAGTGATACCATAATAATAACTTTAGTGGGGAGTTTTTGTTTTGAAAAAAAAAATACAGTTATGAGTAGAATACCTTGAGACAGGAACACCAAAGACGAAAGTATTATTCGAAAACAACCTAACCTGCTTTAACATAACCTAACTATCCATCCTTCAAATATGATCGATCATGCAACATGAAAACATCGTCTATCTTTGTCGGATACATGCAAATTAGCAATACAGTTTGTTTAGACAATAAAATTATGTTTGTCTCTGTTTAACATATCTGAAACTTCATTAAAAATATTCACAAATCGCTGTCGTTTGTCTTTACTACAGACTAAAATGATGACATAATCGTCATCTTTCATGATTTCGACTTTATATACTACTCGGCTTCACAAAACATATGCAACCAACAATGCGTGTAGTTGAGTCATTCCTCCATAGATGGACGCTCGTAGCGGTCATAGCGAGCAAACGTGGAATGAACTATTTGCACCCTAAAAACTACCTAGCCTGCAAAATGACATTTTATTGGTTCTTTTTGAAGTTTTATAGGTTTTTTACATAATACCCGTACCGAGCAGATGGATAGGATGGTCTGGTCAGCCCGTTCAGCTGACTTGAATCCACTCGGTTTTTTTCACTGGGGAGCGGCGAAAGAAAACGTGTTTTCAAAGCCAATCGAAAATTTAGCTGAGCTACGGGACAGGATATCGGAAACAGCTGAATTTGTTAGTAGCGGAAGATTCGCCCGCCTGATAACCCGATCATCTTTAAGATGTCAAGTTTGCATTGCTGCTCAAGGAAGTCAGTTTGAACACTTAGTATGGATTTAATAAATACCTTCACGAATTAATAAGAGAGGCGTTACCATCTGTCTTGCTGTCACTACGCAGAATAACACTGTCCGTCATTCCGTCTAAGAAAAAATTGAAATTTGTTGAAATGGGAACTAAAAGATCGTCACAGGGTGTAGATTCTTCCGATTTTTTTAAGTCTGTGATTTTGAAAAGTACACGATTTTTTTATATTCTCTGATAACCTCCGTTTCCAGCTTGACGTCCACTTCTGGGACACCTTGTATGTCTATAAGTGTTGACTTGATCCAGATATTGAATGCTTTCAAATCTGTAATAACAAAATAGTATAATTAATGCAGAAAGTCAATGGCTGAAATTTTGCATGGACCTCTACCATCTATTACTATTTGCAATGATGAAAAAAGACAACGCCTGAGTAGATTTCATCATATTGTTCTAGGTTGAACTGAAAATAGCTATAGAAGACCTGAATCAAGAAGTGAGCGAAGGTGGTTCAAACTTCAGCGCCGGACAAAGGCAATTAATCTGTTTGGCTAGGGCGATTGTACGAAACAACAAGATTTTGGTTATGGATGAAGCTACTGCAAATGTCGATCCGCAGTAAGTAGATTTTTTAGCGTAAAGTGAAGATGAAATTGTGTTATGTTTGTCGATTTGGCGATCTGCTTTGGTACCTTGGCTCTGATACTCCTAGTAAGTGGTGAGTTGTCAGCTTGGTTCTTGTTATTCAAGATTTTCTTAAGTAACTAACGTAAATAAGCAATGGATTGGAAGTGTGTATGTATAAAGGGAAGATGTATTTTTATATTACTTGGTGGAACATTTTTTGAAACTTCATGTAAGTAAAATGTTATCCTGTAGAAACGATGGGTTACAAGTTTTTGTACAGGGGTGATACTATTATTTTTTCATGTTACCCGTTGTAATACCTCTTCGTGAAGCGCCTATAACCAAAATTCGTTCACTTTTTTCATGCATCCTCTGCAGCTTTTACCACTGACTTAAGTTCTATGACTTCCGCACTTCCTCAAAGGGAACATTCACTTATTCACAAAGGTTTCAGCTCTAGGTTTTACATGAGTTACAAACACTGTCCACACAAAAAAAATATTTCTGTCAGAATCGCTGTTCGTTTCCACACTTCTTTGAATATTCGCTTGTACCTAAGTGATTAAGCTCTGTGTGTTGTCAGGTTCAATGTGGACCCTCGAAAATAATTTTGATGACGCCTTGTCATACAAATGTTTCGTTATGGTAATTTCGACATTGCCATGATATTTCCAATATAGAAGTCAGTAAAAATCAAGTGTCAAAATTGTCTTGTATATGACGGCAAGACGACGTCGAAATTAATTACAGAAATCGAACCTCAGCTAGATTCAGTATTCTGGACTATTCTAGCAATCCTATTTCTGAAAGAAAATAATTTCCCTCAAAGGGAACATTCACTTATTCAGAAAGGTTTCAGCTCTAGGTTTTACATGAGTTACAAACACTGTCCACACAAAAAAAATATTTCTGTCAGAATCGCTGTTCGTTTCCACACTTCTTTGAATATTCGCTTGTACCTAAGTGATTAAGCTCTGTGTGTTGTCAGGTTCAATGTGGACCCTCGAAAATAATTTTGATGACGCCTTGTCATACAAATGTTTCGTTATGGTAATTTCGACATTGCCATGATATTTCCAATATAGAAGTCAGTAAAAATCAAGTGTCAAAATTGTCTTGTATATGACGGCAAGACGACATCGAAATTAATTACAGAAATCGAACCTCAGCTAGATTCAGTATTCTGGACTATTCTAGCAATCCTATTTCTGAAAGAAAATAATTTTAGTCCGTATCCGATATTATCAATATTACTATCAATTAGGTAACCAGCAGGACGCTCTGCGCACTGTGGAATCGTGGTGTAGGGAAGCCGATCTTTCTGTCATCGCTGGGAAAACCGAGCTGATCCTGTTCACTAGGAGAAGACTTGATGTGCTTCTCTTGCTGACCTTCTTTGGGTCTAGATTTGTTCTATCCCAATCAGTAAAATACCTAGGAATTATCCTGGACTGCAAACTGAACTGAAGAGAGTAAATTGAAGGCTTGCAATTCCTTGTGGGCTTGTAGACGCGTAGTCGGTGTAAGATGTGGGCTTGAACACAAAGTGGTTCACTGGCTCTACGCGACGATAGTGCATCCATCTCTCTTGTACGGCTCCTTGGTTTGATGGCCTTGCATTGGAACTGAGACAACTAAGGCCAAACTCAACAAAATTCACGATTTGGCTTGTATCAGCATTACAACCGCAGTGCGGACAAGGCCATTGAGTGCAATGGAAGCTCTGCTGGATCTCCCATCGTTGGTTCTAGTGATCCGCGGAGAAGCGAGAATAGTCGCACACCGACTGTGGAGTCAGGGCAGCTGGGCTTTCTTAAATCATGTCAAGGGTCATACTGCCATCTTAGTTGAACTGCAAAGGGAGGAATCCGTCCTTTTGAGCAGGGGTTATCTAATTACCCCTAAATATCACTTCAACCGCAAGTTTGATGTGGAGTATCCAACGAGGGAGGAGTGGGACGCCGGTTGCCGGAGGCTCTCTGGAGTGAGTGGTCAATTCTGGTACACGGACGGCTCGGTCACCGAAGAGGGCTCTGACGCCAGGGTCTCTGGGCCTAAAACTAGGCTGTCTCTGCCTCTTGGTGGATACACCACTATTTTCCAGGCGGGGAAACCTTTTTACTTCGAGCCTTGTATTGCAATGCAGGGAGGCTCTGGATTGTCTAGCAGCGAGGCACCCGGTATAGTTAGTGTGAGCACCGGGGCACGCTGGGATAAAGGGCAATGAGACGGCGGACGCTCTGGCGAAGACAGGATCAACCAGAAAGCTCGTTGGTACTGAGCCAGCTTTAGGGGTGCCCGCTCAAAGAGTCAGGAGAAAAATGAAGAAGTAGATTGCAAGACAACACTCTCAGAAATAGAGAAGCATCTCCAGACATATCCGTCAGGCACGTGAACTCATTGTAGGGCCTAGCGCTAAGGATGGACGTTTCTGCTTATCTTTAAATAGAGCCAACCTAAGGTTGCTGGAGCGACTGTGGTCTGGCCATAACACGTTAGGGCGCCACATGCACGTGATGGGGGTGGCCCATCACGTGCAGGTGGCTGAGGCTCCCTTGTGTGAGCGCTGCGGGGTAGAGGAAGAGACCTCGGCGCACGTTCGGTATCGATGAGAGGCTCTTAGCTGCTACAGGCAGGTTATACTGGGGTCCATCACTTTCGACCCCCAGGACGTTAAGGAGCTTGGACTCAAGGCCATACTCAACTTGGCTAGAATGGCGAGACTTGAGGTCTAAGGAAGGTAGAGTTGCATAAGAGCACGTCTAAGTGGCCTATGCGCTGGCTCCTTTTGGTGGCCAGTATGCCTCTAATTGCATGTTTCATTCATTCATTCAACCAATAATTAATGCTTACATAAATTGTCAGATGTGCTTCAAACTACTATTCTCCGCGATTGTACTTTATCACCAACACTGTCTACACCGGATTGGTCAAAGCTCAACGTAACCTATGAAAAGTTATGTTAAATGGCGATATCATCCGGGAAACAATTTATGTTCTCTCTCAAGTACAAGAGAAGTCATAAAATATGCTTTTAATAGCGATGCCCTAACGTCAAAATTGTTCTAGTATCCAACACGTCTACAGAGATTTTGACGTAAGCCAGATAATGTTGTCCTAGTAAAAAAATTAAAATACCTCGACGATGTACAAGATAAACATTGGAGAACGAAACGAGTGTATCTCCCTATTTAATACTTTTGCACCGTATTTATCAGGGAAAGTTTTCCCAGCTCATCAGTTTCTGATGACGACAGGTTAAAGGCAAAAAGGTACATTTTTATCGAGTATCTTTGTATTCACTTGGACAGTAGAACCCTGAAGAGTTGCTCGTTAGATTCGACAATCATATTCACTGTCATTAAGTATTTTTTTCCAGGAGCAGCATGACAGGCCGATGATGTCCTGTCGTCTTACTGGCCAAAACTGACGTGACCATGCATAGCTTGTAGTGGTGGCAGATATTTCACGAACTGTGATTTAGTAAATGATATTTCTAATTGACGAATCATGATTGTTACTAAATACCATGAAAAAGCGTAACGTAATCACGACTTCGGAAACTAAGTGATTCACGACAATGGCGAGTGGCATCATGAGCTCACGGAGTTAACGTTTGAATGTGCATTAGATGAGCATGCGCGCCAGCCGCTAAGGTCAAGAATCGTATACCACCGTAAGACTACTATAACCTGCAAGCGATATTGTGCCTTATATCTTTTGCTGGTTAGCTCTATGCGATTTGACATTTCTTCGAACAGTGGTCGATGACTGGTTCTGGGATCCGACCGTGTGAATTCTGTTTAAATAGCGTAGCAAAAGGAACCGAGTTTATGTGGCGGGATCTTGGACACGATCACTGGCAGGTTAGTGATAGCTGTACGAACAGGGCTTTGATCGCTGTATTTTGCTGAGGATATCAGTAGGGGAACGAGACATACAGATACTTACTTTGTCCCCTTTCAGCAAACAAGTTATGGTATAAATGAACACATAACTCGCCTTTTTAGGTTAAATGAAGTGTTAAGAACATTACAATGTGAATCTTCAATCAAGACTACTTTGTATCTGTGATAGGGGTTTTACTCGTTGATTAAATAAATATCATCGATATTCGAAAGTCGTGATCACGTCACGGCTTTAAATTACTCACATCAAAAAGTAACGATATCAGATTTTACAGATATACAGATATTCAAAAATAACTAAAGCGGCAATCTCTAACTTGTTGCATCACATCTATCCCAAAATAGAGTCGAAAATCAAAACCAAACGAACGAACACTCTTGCTTGGTTTTGAAATGTTCCGGAACAAAGTTTTCAGCTGTTCTAAAAACTATGACCAAAATATACGTTTCCCTACACCGTTAATTCAAAAAACTTACAGCAAGCTGCATGCATCCTGAAACAGAAACAAAGTATGAACACAGACAACCTGATTAGAAAAAGTTGATCAGTACACTTCCCATACATTCATTGATATCCATTTACAAAGGATCGAGGTCCGTGAGATTGCTTTCCTGCATTCAAAATAACTCAAATCTTAATTTGATCACAGCTACCAAATGTTTGCTCTGAGCTAACTTTCAATGCTAGTAAGACGAAATTTATAACATTTAAATGCTTCCTCGATTTCATAAATTTAAATAATTTGATTCACAAAACAGAAACCATCAAATTTTTATGACTGACCAATGAGCATAAATTAAATTTTACTAGTCATGTAGATCAATTACTTACTCATTAGCAAAGATTTCCTTTATTATACGAACAATTAATTACAACACGGGAAAGAGCACAGCCTTAAGCAGTTAAGCAGTTATATGTCCTTATTTGGCCTTTATTTTTAAATCTTAAAATTATTACTTTCGTACCATTGTTATTTTAGAAACAGCAACTCTTATTCTTAAAATAAATCTTAATTCGAGACATCAAATACTCGTATAAAGGTATTAGACGAAAACAAGATCTTAAATTAGTAGTACATACAG